TTATTGGATATTATGTCTGGGAGATGGGATCATCATGATACCTTAGGCTAGTATTTATCTAAAAGCTTTAAATCTATTAAACTATGAAGACATAACTTTTGTCTTATTGAATAGTATGTCTAGGAGATGTGTTCTCGTTACCTTAGGCTATCATCTATCTAAAAAGCTATAACTGAAAGTACTGATATTTTATATATGCATATTACCTGATGATATGTATAACTTGCTTAACTATAATTATATGAAATGATGTATAAATATTACACCATGATAACTCATAAAAGCACTTGATGTGGATCTAGTTATTATAGGAAAACTTAGTATAAATGTTATATCATGATAGAAGTTTCACTAACCAGTCGAAACAAAATAAAAATAACTCCTCTAGCCCAGATTTGTTTTATATTATTATATTCCATGAATGAGTGAGTATGTGTTTATGTCGCTTTTAGCAATATTCCAGCAATATCACAGTGTCCCCATGTGGGGAATCGAACTCAGGCCTTCTGCGTGATGGGCAAACGCTTTAACCACTGGGCTACCCCACTGCACTTGTTTTGCATGATGTTGTATGGGTCTGTTGGTTTTTTTTGGAAAACTATATTCTGACATTGTTTAAAGTTAATTACTGTATTTAATCAATTATTACAGAAAAAATGTAACAGCTACTTGAGCTTTTTTCATTTCGTATGATTTTGTGGTTGTGTTTTTTTATTTTCCAAAATCCACCAATGATGGAAGAGTCAGCCAAATAAAAAAAATAAAATTGGAATTTTTTTTTTTAAGGTTTGTAGCTTTTGGTACCAGTCAGTTGAATCTGTCAGTCCGAAAACAAAAAACGTGTTGCCTTATCATAGAGCTCGATCAGTAGAAGGAATAACCATGTAGATTGTGGGAAGTGGGTGTGTTTTTATTTATGGAGACCTGCCTTTTGTACAGCAACAGTGTAACAGAATATCCTTGCATCATGTTTGCACTTTATTTATTGTTGTTGCAGTGTTTGTGCTTTTAACCAGGCTGACAAGGCGTTGATTGTCAAATCTGTTGCATTTTCCATAGGCAAGGGAGTTAACCGACTATAAGAGTCCAGTTTCTACCCTTGCCGAACTAGGCTGGAATTATGGAGTTATGTTTTGGCTGGACAAACAAGTCCGTGCATAGTCCAATCAAAATCGCATAATGAAATCGACATCCGGTTCATTAACTGGCGTGTAGATTTTTGTCGATTGCAGGATTTGTAAAGTGTGTGTACCACCAACTTGGCATCAATAGATATTTTCCAAATCCTTTCATGTTTTTTATCAAGGTGCTCTCATGATTTGATGCACTTCGCGAAGTAAGCCCCGTTTTATCACAATATAGGTCTTGATTATCGATCAGATCGTCTTGACTGGGTGCCACCATTTTGTTTGTAGCAAATGCAAGTGATATGAGAGGTGGTATCTGATTGGTCAATAGGAGGGACATAGAAGGAGCATAACTTGTAATAGCCACTGGTGGCTCTATGATTGAGTCGGGAATTCCAGCCTAGTTCGATGATGAATCAGCTGTAGTGTAACACATGGTTGAGCTCAGTAATACACTGGTATCAGTTTGGGAAAAATCACCAATGATTTTAGCTGGAGTAATCGTATCTCTGTGCTGCTCTGTATAAATGATTTTGTTTATGACTTGTTGCTTTGTATACTCTGTTTGTTGTGCTGGGTTCTATTGCAGACACATTAAACATGCTGTGGCAGTCAGTTTTTCCAATAAGAATCAAAGACATGAGGTCAATCCAGTCAGTGGGTTGTTTAAGTCTCTTTGAGTGTGGCTACTCATTAATAGGTTCATGTGAATGTTCCAAGTGGTAATCAAATATGATATTTGGTTAGTAATAACAGTACGAGTATTTCAACAAATAAGGTATGTTAATAAGGCCACAGACTCTATTTTCATAAAAGGTGAAGAAGAAAGAAAAAGAATATACTTTTTTGTCACAATCAAAAATATTTTGTGATATCTCAGTATTGAAGAAAACATCATCCACAACATAATGTTGACATTCCACAACATGATGACATTCTACAACATGATGACATTCCACAACATGATGACATTCTACAACATGATGACATTCTACAACTTGATGACATTCTACAACGTGATGACATTCTACAACATGATGACATTCTCCAACATGACATTCCACAACGTGATGACATTCTACAACATGATGACACTCTACAACGTGATGACATTCCACAAGATGACATTCCACAAGGTGATTACGTTCTACAACATGATGACATTCTACAACATGATGACATTCCACAACATGATGACATTCCACAACATGATGACATTCTACAATGTGATGACATTCTTCAACGTGATGACATTCCACAGTGTGATGGCATTCTACAATTTGATGACTTTCCACAACATGATGACATTCCACAACATGATGATATTCCACAAAGTGATGACATTCTACAACGTGATGACATTCTACAACATGATGGCATTCCACAACGTGATGACATTCCAGAAAGTGACATTCCACAACATGATGACATTCTACAACATGATGACATTCCACAACATGATGACATTCTACAACATGATGACATTCCACAACATGATGACATTCCAAAACATGACATTTCACAATGTGATGACATTCTCCAACATGATGACATTCTACAACATGATGACATTCTACAACATGACATTCCACAACGTGATGACATTCCACAACATGATGACATTCTCCAACATGATGACATTCTACAACATGATGACATTCTACAACATGACATTCCACAACATGATGACATTCTACAACATGATGAAATTCCACAGGGTGATGAAATTCCACAACGTGATGACATTCTACAACATGATGACATTCCACAGTGTGATGACATTCTACAATTTGATGACTTTCCACAACATGATGACATTCTACAATATGACATTGTACAACATGACATTCTCCCTTTGTTTTAAAACACACACACACACACACACACACACACACACACACACATTTCACACACTTATGGAAAGTCACAGACCTTACAGGCAATGGGACGGTGGGGTAGCCTCGTGGTTAAAGCGTTTGCTCGTCACACCGAAGATGCAGGTTCCATTCCCGACATGGGTACAATGTGTGAAGCCCTTTTCCGGTATCCCCTGCCACGATATTTCTGGAATATTGCTAAAAGCGGCAATGGAAAGTCTCCTCTATTTCAAATGTTTATCCCATTGTTCAAAGCGAGTGATAGGCAGTGATTTTGACTGAATCAGCCCGTAACAACACCGTGTAAACCTGTTCAAGGTTGGATGATTCGAAAATACATTAGAACACTCACATTCCCAATCTGGTAAGAGATGTTTTGATTTGACAAATGAAAGGTCGTTCTGACATCTGAGATCTTTGTTTAGCCGTAGCGAGAACTAAAATCTGATTTTAAGGAGATTGTGGTGTCTCTAACAATTCCCTCCAGCTGCTAACGTGGCCTCCAATATGTCCTTATAATTCAGGTGAGCTACAGAGGCTTGGGGCTCCCATTGTTCCCTCCCCCGTGACCTGTGATCCAATCTATACAAAGATTATACCTTGTACAGCATCTACAAATGAACTCTCCCTACCTCAACATCAAAATGCAATTTGTGGCAGGTGAGCTACAGTCCTTCCTCGGTTTCATAGTGAGAATAAATATGTCCGTATCCATTATTAGCTTGTGTGTTGAGGAGAGGGCAAACAGGGAAGATATTGAGTGTGGGAGGTGACATGAGCTGTGGAAGAAGGTGTGAGGGAGGATCAGCCTATAGCATTACAGAACACTGGCCGAATGATGCAACTATTGGAATAAACGTTATGGGAGATGCAGCTGAACATAAGTCGGACACAATTGAAATTCTTGAAGAAACGACTATTAACAGCCTGAAATATTTGAACAGAAACTTAAATAATGACATTAATGTGAATAATGCCAGTGTCCCTTGCATTAATTAAGTGATGGATTTTGATGTGGATTTAGGAGAGTTGTTCGCTTCACATGCTGGAAACAATGATGTATGTCACATAACAAGATTGTCAATAAACAACGTAGTGCTAGACACAGTGTTTCTCACTAAGTACCAGGGGGAGTGGATGGCCCATTCCTTAGGCATGCCATGAAAGCTATAATCATCGGAGGCCCTGGTTTATCTTGGTTATGTTTCTAGGCTTGTCAGCACCATACAAATGCTTATTAGTTTCCCTGAAGTGGTAAATGTCTAATGGGCTTTCCTGTTTCCATCCGTGTTTGACAGTAGCTTTGTTCTTGGCAATCTTGTCCAATAATCTTATATTTAAACATTTGTTGAAGGCAAAACACTGCCTATTCACGTAGTGAAAATGTCCACTACAGTAACTGCAGACATGATGATATGTACTGAAAACATAAAATGCAATAATTTCATGACATGTTAGGCTGGAGGACAGTCATCGCATTGATTAACTTCATGAGTTACAGTAAAGGTCATCTGGGTTAGCCTTAAATTATGAAAAAGAATGAATTCCATTTTATTGTTCAATATCCAATGAAACAGGATGTAAGAAAAAAAGTTGATTTATAAATTAAGTTTCAGGTTGTGAGTAGTGACTGATTATTGTCATGGTTTATTGCATGGCCGGGAGAACGATCATGTCAGGACTAATAATATTGTGGCCGAAGATGGAAAGAGAAATATCTACTTTTGTGATACATATTGTTGGGGGTCAGGTGCTTATTTCTTGAGAATCTTCGACACATGCACATCCCTGCACAAACCACCTGTGAAGGTCTGGGTTAGAACTGGGTTTTTAGCAACCCATGCTTGTCGTATGAGGTGACTAACGGGATTGGGCGGTCAGGCTCGCTGATATGGTTGATGCATGTCATCGTATACTTGATTACTTATAAAGCTGAGTGCAGCGTTAAACAACAAACAAACAAACATGTATGTTAAAGTGATCCTTTGTTTTGCAGCTCTTGTCATACAGTTTGCCTACCACAGATTCCAGGAGTACCACGACCCCACTATCGGTACGTACATCCCGCCCGTGGAATGGTGTAGTAGGTTAATCTGAATGGATTTGAAACTCAAGTCTCTACTCTCTATGAATGTTTTCTTTAATAATCTCAACAAATGAGTTTGTTGTTTTTGAATCCAATATCATTGATAAAATACAAGCTCCCGAAGTTTCTGGCCCACCTAACTAAATGAATCTTTCTTTCAGTCTGTCGTTAACTTTAGCATTTTCAACATCTCCTCTCAAACTACAAGGCCCATTGAGATGGGACTTGGCATGAATCATCCCAGCTATAGTGTCACTGATAATTGCTCATGGAATTCTGATTGATTTTAAACATGGCCAACATGTGTACAGTGACATATGGTTAATGTGAACAGTACCACCAGTATTCCGGTATTTACCAGTTTCCAGATAAGCAAATCGTGGATACAGAGATATATCTTTAACCAGTTAAACACCAGACTAAACCTGAAATTACAACTTGTGAGTTTTGTCTCCTGTTGGTTATTGATTGTGATTTCTTTATGCAGAAGATGCATATGAGCACCAGTGCCGTATCGATGGTGAGGCAGCACATCTGGACATCCTGGACACTGCTGGTCAGGTCAGTACTGTGTCCACACTAGAGTGTTAAGAAAACCATTCAAAATTCACTGTCATTGTTTTACTTACGAAAGGTCACAATTGATTTTTTGCCAATTTGAAATTCCTCACAGTGAAGAATTTTTGTTTAATTTTATGAAATTTTAACAAAATGTATTTAAATTTTGTTATATATTCTCTCAGCAAGTGTTTAGAGGCTTCCTGCTAAGAGTGACCAAGTGTATCCGTAAAGAAATTACATTTGGCTTTGTGATCATGATGATGTCATCTGTTACAGCCGGAGTTCACCGCCATGCGGGAACAGTACATGAGGAAAGGAGAAGGCTTTGTCATCTGCTACTCCATCACCGACCACCGCAGCTTTGATGAAGTTCTAGCGTACAAGAAACTGATTGACCGAGTCCGATGTGACCAGGATATTCCCATTGTGCTTGTTGGTAACAAGTGTGACCTTGAAGAGAGACGCAAGGTCAGTACACTCACAGGTCTTCTATTCTAACTGACAGATAGTCATTGATAGAAATCGTATTGCATCATTTGAACTGTTTTATAAAGGCAGTATTCCATGCTCTCTCAGTGAAACTGTGATGCCATTCTTTGACATACCATTTGTGGAGGTGGGTTTTGTGATAATGGTGATTTTTACTATGTAGGGACATAATTACTGCAATTCTGGCACTGTTTACATGGATCCAATCGGTTTGTGTGTGTGTGGGGGGGGGGAAGATACTAAACAGGTCATTTAGATCTGTTTCTCATATCTCCTCCTAATTATTTGCAGGTTTCCACAGACGATGGAGCTGCCCTGGCGCGTCAACTCAGGTGTCCGTTCTACGAAACCTCTGCCGTTCTGCGCCAGTGTGTAGACGATGTCTTTCATGGACTTGTTCGAGAGATTCGCAGGAAGGAGAGGGAGGCTACTGAAGCTCAGGCTAAAGTCGACCGCAAGAAAAACAGATTGCGAAGAATGCGTTCATTTTTCCATAGCTTGAACTTATTTAAGAAGCGGAGGGCACACCAGTCATGAAGAACCTTTATCAAGAAGCTTACATACGCAAACATATGTACTTTCATACAAAAAAGCAAGATTGTTTATTCTTGGAGATTTGAATTATTTTTCTGAAACAATATTTAATTTGATTATTTATTTAGAAATCATTTGTTAGGTCATATTGATGTAACTGAAATGATATTTTTTAGCTTGACTGGTCATTGACCTGAACATTTTGACATTTACCATGTTAACACATCACTCTGGATATCTCCTCCAAACATTTCCAAACAATACTCCAGAAACTCGAGTTCAACTTGTACAAATTCTTTTTAATTCTGAGTTTTCATTTGGGCTAAATGCAATAGGAAAGAAGGGTTTTCCTGGAGGGTGAGATGTTAGCCTCAAGGTTAGTGTGGTCAGTTGCCACCCAGAAAACCCATGTTTTCCTTCACCATAGATACAAAATTGGAAACCCGTTCTTGTGAAATTGCAGCAAACTACATTCATTCTACTCACTCATTCATTGACTGTCACGTCATTCGTTCTGATTTCATTGGCTTCTGTGACCTTTCTTGTAGTCATATTCCACCAGACCCAGTTGAGCACACTCTCTCCCCACTTGTCTGTCATACACGTCACGATATAACTTACTGTTAAAAGCGGCATGAAACCTAACTCACTCACTCATCTGTCATATGTGCAGCTTTATACGGTGTTGATGTTCTAACTTGGTCTTGGTCATGCATGTATTTGTTGTTATTTTAGTCAACATTGTGTAACAAACTTAATGAATTCTCTCAATCTCATTAAAATCAGATCTTAGTTCTCGCTACCGCCAAGATCTGAGAACATCCCACTGCGGGTCATGTCAGAACGACCTTTCATCTGACCAATCAGAGCATCGCTTATCAGATCATGAAAGTGACGGTTGGAATGTGATTTTTGATCGTGCAACCTCGAAAAAAACACACACAGGGTATTCCGAACGAAGTTATGGGCTTTATCTGTATTCGTACAATCAAGACCATCCATAAGCCATTCCAGATTGTTCTTTTGTTCAATTTTTGATATTTTAATCGGGTGTATGTCAATATATGTTTCGAAGCATTGTCGCCAGTTTGAAACTCGTGCTGTAAAGCTCGATTAAGCTGCCTTCTGATTGGCTATTGTCGACTTCTTGTTAGTCATTCCATTGATCAGTCAATGTTCGCGAAAGGTCGGTCTGACGTGACCAGTAATTGGATGTCCTCAGATCTTTGTTTAGCGGTAGCGAGAAATATGATCTGATTCTATTGAGATTGTGAATTCCCTGAATGTGAGAAGAAAAATTACATTAATGCATTGCTAATGGAAAAGAAACAAATTGAAAACTGGACTGACAATGTATCTGGTCAACATTATTCATGGGAGCATATTCAAATTTTGTTTTACCTTTTTGCCTCTACAAATGAATGATCACCATTTTCTCAATGAGAATTGATCCAACCCTCAATGGGGCACTGTTTCCAGCTGCATTGGATCATTGATGTGTTGTATTCCTTGTGGTGCTTGGTGGCGTTATGCTTGGTATGTCAGAGTAAATAAACTTGGATGCATGGTATTATGTACCATGTGCCAGGTGTCACTGCATGTGTATCAGGGTACATTATCATGTTTGTCACTGTATATGTGAGGGTACTTGCTTGATAAGGTATGCCAGTGTATGTATCAGGGGTGGTAACCCTGCTTACCATGATACATGGTTTGTCTGTTGTTTAACGCCGCACTCAGCAATATTCCAGCTATGTGACAGCAGTCTGTACATAATTGAGTTTGAACCAGACAATCAAGTGATTGTCATCATAAGCATTGATCTATGAATTTGGGATACGATGACATGCATCAACCAAGTCAGCAAGCCTGACCACTTGATCTTGTTAACCACCACTTACAATAAGTGTGGCTTGCTGAAGACCTGTTTTTACCCAGATCTTCACGGGTTGATACATGGTAGTAGATACTCTGCAAGTATCAGGGGAGGTAACCATGCTTTTTGTGACACAGGGCAAATATAGTGCATGTATCAGGGGAGGTAACTCTGGAAACAATGATACAGGGTAGATTCACTGAATCAAGCTCCTCTCAGCGATAGCCTGTTTGCGGAGCTCTCTATACTATCGCTGCCACCAGTCAAAACTCTGCACTGTGATAGGTGGCCACAACCATGCTTGGAGGTGAACTCGCAACCGAATGACCATTATGTTTACAAACAAGTGACGACTATCGTGACTCCATTTACTGCTGCTAAATTACTTTCTTTATTTGTCAATTTGAATTTCTATTTCATTTAAACTGTCATGTAATTAATATAGTATGAATGGAAGGGAGATGTTGGTTGATTTTCTGTTAGTCTGCAATCTCGAACCAATTTGATTATACAAACAACAAAATAAATTCATATGGAAAACATGATCAGTGGTAAACCTTTTCAAAATAAAATATGATGGCATTCCCAAAAACATAAACAAAAGGATAAACATTACTACATTTTGGGTTAGAGGCCAAATTTCAAGGTTCTTGTAATGATCTCGCCCACACTGGTGGCAGCGATGTTACTGAGAGTGAAAAACGAAAGTGTCACGCGATGGGAAGGAGCTTGACGCAGCCTGTATCAAGGGAGGTAACCCTGGGAACCAGAATAAAGGGTAGATACACTGCATGTATCAAGGGAGGTAACCATGACATATGCTCTGGTCACCACGACCAATGTGACATTGCTGACTATGGTGTAAGACCCCATTCACTCAGTATGATTGGTAAATATACTACTCAAAAGAAGTTAAGGACCACCCGATTCTTTCACATTACTGTAGTTAATCTGGCATGCTATGACAAATTAACTATGTTAATATATAAGAATTGGGTGTTCTTTAGCTTCTTATGAGTATTATGAGTAGTATGATTTATTGAACAGTTCAAAATATAACATGTATATTCAGTATGTGTTATCGATAATTACAGATCTGTTTCAATGTCTTCAGGATGTGTTATCGATAATTATAGATCTGTTTCGATGTATTCAGGATGTGTTATCAATAATTATTGATCTGTTTCAATTTATTACTCTTGGATCTACCCAGAAAATATCCTACAGTTCTCCGACATGTGAAGATCCGGGGTAGAATAGGTCTTCAGCAACCCATGCTTGCTGTAAAAGGCGACTATGCTTGTCGTAAAAGGCGACTATGCTTGTCGTAAAAGGCGACTAACAGGATCGGCTGGTCAGACTCGCTGACTTGGTTGATGCAATGTCATCGATCCCAATTGCGCGGATCAATTTTCATGATGTCAATCACTAGAATGTCTGGTCCAGACTCCATTATTTACATCCGCAGTCATATAGCTGGGATATTGCTGAGTGCGGCGTAAAACAACAAACCAAACCAAAATCCTACAGTCCTCCATGTGCGGCTACATCACCCGTGGTATAGGCCTCCTGGGATATTGGTGGCCCAGTTGTATAAGGCGCGACGATTCGCAGACAGTTGCTTCCCTTGGGTGTGCGAGATTCCTATGATCATGGTGTCAAATGCCGATTTGCATTGTGTGTTTTTAGATTTGTCCGCACCATACCCGATCTCCTGTGTTTCACTAATGTGGTAAACATCTAAAACTTGAATTACTTCAGGCTTTCCTATGTCATCAAGCTACCATATGACTGGGGGGCGGTCGGGTAGCCTAGTAGTTAAAGCGTTCGCTCGTCACGCCGAAGACCCGGGTTCGATTCCCGACATGGGTACAATGTGTGAAGCCCATTTCTGGTGTCCCCCGCCGTGATACTGCTGGAATATTGCTAAAAGCGGCGTAAAATCATACTCACTCACTCACCATATGACTGAAAATTATACCGCGTTACACTGTGCTGATGGGTTTCACCAAAGTCGTAACCATCTTAAGATCTACGTCAGTTCAATCTTTCTCCCAGGTCAAGCTGACATGTCATGATATAACTGAAGCACTGTTCTAAACCATACTCACTCACTCACACACTCACTCATGTGTGGCCATCTTGTTTGTTGCCAGTCTGTGCTAGGTTGTCTATTTTGAGATTTTGCTCTTGCATTCTCACTCTCTCATCTTACTCAAATAACATATTTAATGATAATATTGTCATCATATTCTTATTTTATCCAAAGAACAAATATTATGATTATTTATGAAATATTTATTTATGTGAAGTGACATGTTTTTTCTGTTACTGCCCTGCATGTGAATGTTATTTATTTTGTGTCTTAATGAGTTGGTATTTATTCATAAGTATATATACACCGACATCATAACTTGTGAATGTATAGAATTACGTTTGTGTTACCTCATTTACTGCTGTTGTTCTCTTGCTTTGGTTTGTGAATCTTTTACAAATCTGCCAAACCACATATGTCAACACAACTTCATTGACTTGTTGAGTTTATCTTGTTTTGCAAGGTTCACTGTTAATGCTGTTTATCACCCCCTTCCTATAGGATTACTGGTGCTGGTGATGACCACTAATGTTAGAGAGGCACTTCAGCAACAGGGTGTACGGTAATTGTTACACACATTCACCAGCTGGATTCGCAAATCTCTGTCATTGTTTAACCCATTATATTTTTATTTCAACACTTTTACTCACTCATCTTATTTTGTTGTGATTTGATTCATCCTCGTTAATCTATTGTATTATTTCTCCATTCAGACTCTGTACACATTTGTTACCGTAGTGTTGGTTTGTCTGGTTCAGACTTGAATATTTCCCGATAGCTGTAATACTGATGTATAACATGGAGTGGAGTATTTCCAGATAGCTGTAATACTGATGTATAACATGGAGTGGAATATTTCCCGATAGCTGTAATACTGAAGTATAACATGGAGTGGAATATTTCCCGATAGCTGTAATACTGAAGTATAACATGGAGTGGAATATTTCCCAATAGCTGTAATACTGATGTATAACATGGAGTGGAATATTTCCCGAAAGCTGTAATACTGAAGTATAACATGGAGTGGAATATTTCCCAATAGCTGTAATACTGATGTATAACATGGAGTGGAATATTTCCCGAAAGCTGTAATACTGATGTATAACATGGAGAGGAATATTTCCCTATAGCTGTAATACTGATGTATAACATGGAGTGGAATATTTCCCGATAGCTGTAATACTGATGTATAACATGGAGAGGAATATTTCCCGATAGCTGTAATACTGATGTATAACATGGAGAGGAATATTTCCCGAAAGCTGTAATACTGAAGTATAACATGGAGTGCAGCCTGAAGCAACAAAGTACCATATCTTCATGAAGAATGTGACATCACCATCTCCGTCCTTATCAGTAACTTCAGGATTTCTAAAGCTTATGAGCAGTTATGAGTTAGAATTGATTGGATTTCTAAATTTAGCATCACATACATGTATTTTCAAATCCAACCCTAAAGGAATCTGTGGTGGTGCATGTGACTAGGGTGTTTATCCTAATAGAATGGAGATATAACACACTGGTTAAGTGATGATTTGTAATGATGCATTCAGTATAGCTGCATTAGTTCCCTGCCATGGTATAGACTGTGCATGGGCTTAGCTATACACACTCTGGGTCAATAAGTACAAGATGCATATATCATCAGCATAGAAACTCCCAAAGTGATTGTTTCATCAAGAATTTGTTGTCATTTTAAGATGAGAAACGTTACTATTTCCATCAAGTACCCACTTTCGACCTTGTTGTCTGACGAATGGGTACTTGGTTTTGTTTTGCAAAGACGTATTACGGATCTGTAGTACAATGTACAGATAGAAACTACTTGTTTTGTACTTTCTACCCCAGTAGTCAGTACAGGCTGAGCATATTACCTCTATGCTCGAAGCATATTACCTTTATGCGGGAAATAATGGATGCAGATATTTTGAACAAGGATGAGGGACAAGATGGTCAAACCACAACGTGTCTTTTTTGCTGACCGGAACAGCAGCCATCTCAGTGCTCCATGCAGCAGACTTGGTGTGTCTTGTATTAAGGCCAAACTTTCTTTGGTTCTTGTTTCACAGACAAACACACCTATATTCTCTAGCTCATTGCCTATGAGACGTTAGATTTTATCTTACTCACTCACTGTAGTTCAGCTGACTGAAAGTCAAGTGAGTTTTGTGTCGTGGCTCTTTGTCCCTCCATCTGGTTGTATGTTGTCAACTTTTGCATTTCTTACCTCCTCTGAAACTACAATGCCTATGGAGCTGAAACTTTGTATGAATGATACCAGTTATGGTCTCCTATCGGATTTTAGACATGGCCCTCAAAGTAAAAAATGCTGTTATTGGCAATATTGAAGTCATCTTCCTGAGGCAGGGGTGTTAACTGACTATAAAAGTCCAGTTTCCACCCTTGCCGAACTAGGCTGGTTACCACTGGGCACAGGACTTATACTTCATGTGAACATTGACCTTAAAAAGATCCAAGCTTGTCCAAGGCATCACTATTTGCACTCAATTGATTTTAACAATTTTGCAAGAATCCATTTTTATCTTTTCACACCATTGTTCTTTACACTCTACAGATATTTGTCCCAATTACATCAGGTTGACGTCACTTCAAAAATCTGGTGAGCTACAGAGCCTTGTGGCTCTATTTCCTTTTCACGAAACATTCTGGAAAATACAATAAGGACATGCATTGCTTGTCAGATCATATGGTATGTGCCACTAAATCTGGAAGATCTTGAATATGTTTTAGAAGTGAACACTGTACAAGTCCTACTATTGAAAGCAATATTGAACATCAGTAGCAATAATATCTTCAAGGTAGAAAACGTCCAACGGTCAAAATGCATCATTGGTTGATCTTGTTGATCAGTGGCGCCCTGTGATGATGATTATTACTGTGACCATGTTTGATCAACTCAGACTGATCCTTTCATTCACTGTATGTGTTTTACAATGTTTTGGAGGCATTTCTATACTCATCTAGCCCTGGCTAAGCTTAACCCTAGGACTACCGTGAAGCTGACACCTGTACTTAGCTGTAGTGCAGAGATCACTTTACACATTTGGGCTCAGGGAACTGGCTGTTCCTTTTACTCGGCTTATATCTGCAGAATCTTGCAGGCCTGCCCTCTGGCCAACATCTGCAGAATCTTGCAGGCCTGCTATACAGCCAACATCTGCAGAATCTTGCAGGCCTGCCCTCCGGCCAACATCTGCAGGATCTTGCAGGCCTGCTATACAGCCAACATCTGCAGAATCTTGCAGGCCTGCTATACAGCCAACATCTGCAGGATCTTGCAGGCCTGCCCTCCGGCCAACATCTGCAGAATCTTGCAGGCCTGCTATACAGCCAACATCTGCAGAATCTTGCAGGCCTGCCCTCCGGCCAACATCTGCAGGATCTTGCAGGCCTGCCCTCCGGCCAACATCTGCAGAATCTTGCAGGCCTGCCCTCCGGCCAACATCTGCAGAATCTTGCAGGCCTGCTATACAGCCAACATCTGCAGGATCTTGCAGGCCTGCCCTCCGGCCAACACCTGCAGGATCTTGCAGGCCTGCCCTCTGGCCAACATCTGCAGATTCTTGCAGGCCTGCCCTCCGGCCAACGTCTGCATAATCTTGCAGGCCTACCCTCCGGCTTAGATCTGCAGGGGTGACCCAGTTGTCGAAGATGTCACTTAGGGTCCCCTGCATCATGGGTTCATATCCCTTCTTCCCACAGATTATGATCCTTGGTTTGTCAGCACCATAGTGGTATACATGTCAGACCTGCATCACTTTGAGCTTTCCTCAAGCTGACAAGCTGTATGTCAACTGAAATACTGTTCAAAGCAGCATTTAACTCTGTAACTCGCTCCTATGGCTGAAGGACATAAATTTCTGTCCCTTAAGATCATTTCGGAGCTTATTCTCATTACTATTATTTTATGTGCCATATCCACAGTTCATACTAAACCAGTTGTTTGTACAGAAAATGGTATCACTTTTGCATGGCTTGGGGAGCATTTATTATGAGTGTTTGAAATTTTTCATGAATATCCAATCATAGCTATGAATGGATTGTTTAACATTTGTTTTTTTCTTAGACTCCTGGGTCAAAACTGTTACTCAGTTTTTAGAAAGTTTGATTTATCTGCCTCCCCGGTTGTGAAGATATCTAATTGCCAGTATGTCATTTGCACATATCAGAAAAGAACTGGAGCAATATCAAGTATTGAAAATGCTGGACGTCACTTGGCAAATATGTCATTTGATCTTGTGTGCTTACCTCATACCTGTCAACAGTGATACCAGGGTCTAGAGCTAGATTGCAACAAAGTACTGGGTATTCAAAAAATAATGTGCCTGCGGCAGTATTGCAACATTGCGAAGTTTCATGTGAAAGTATTCAAACATATTGTGGGCCTATATGAAGGTGTGTTGGTGCAATAAGTGCTATGTGGCTGTGTGATAATAAAGAAGTCAAAAAAAATCTTTAACGATTTTGTCATGTGTCAAAGAATTGAAAAGATTTAATTTCTCTCTAGCATGATCATGTGATGAGACACAATTCCGCGTGATGTTTAAAATATCGCTCCATGTGATAAATCCATCTGAGCTATGACGAGACTTAACTGCAGGGTTGATCACAGTATGAATACCTTGGAACACTTGGATCCACCTCCAAGCTTCACCTTTTACTAGTCAAATGTGTGGCATGCAGAATAACATGTTTGACCCAGCTTTCACAAACCCATTCAATGAGATTTAATGTGCATTATATTTCCTGAAACCTCGGATTTATGAATCTGATTTTGTATATTCCCCCAGAAATAGCAAATAGCATCTCCAAATACTGCTCCAAAATTCTGCTCACATCCTCCCCGCCACTGAGCAAGTTCTGCATGTATCGTGATGAAGTAGCCAGAGTTTTGCCGCGAGTCTACTTATATTTCCACTCCACCCTTCTACAACCTTTATGGTTTGATGTTGCAAAGCCATGATGAGATAACTGTCACAAACTAGCAAACTCTTTTCACTTATTCCAGACATAATCAGGCTATCTATGGAGCTGTTTTAGCCTAGTTTTAGTAATGCTCAAATTCCGATACACATTATCAGATCCTATGGAAGGCTGGTTATAACTTCGCACTCAGCAATAATCCAGCTGTATGACTGCGGTCTGTAAATTATCGAGTCTGGACCAGACAATCCAGTGATTAATATCATTAGCATCGATCCACGCAATTGGGATCGATGACATGCATCAACCAAGTTAGCGAGCCTGACCAACTGATCGCTTTAATCGCCTCTTACGAAGCAGATATATAATGATTGCCTGTATACAAGAGTAGTTATTGAGCGGACAGATTAGATAGAAATTCTATCAAGTAATGTTCAGATGATTTGTTTCGAATTTGTGGTGGCCAAGGGGATTTGTCATCTTCTGATGACTCTTGTTTCTGAATGATAGAAAATAGTGCCAGAGCACTGTAAGTCAGCATGTAAAGCACACCGCTTAAAATGTCAAAGACACTTAACAAAACACAAAATAAACACAACTACCAAATTTCATTACCAGGAAGACTTTGTAAAGGTAATGGCCACACATTGGTTTATTAATAATGACAAGGCTCCATTTTGAGTATTGAACTTGAACAAATTGGTCATGGTCACGTGAGAACAAGTTTATCAATTTTTATTGGAATTGTGGTTTTGAATCGAGGGAATTAAGGAGCATGGGCAAAACTTAAAAATGCACAACAGACATTTGTTGAGGCTCACTACCAACTACATATGTACCAAATTTCATTCTATCTTCAATAAAAATGTCTGAGTAATGGCCCAAATTGGCTTTTCAATATGGCTGCAGTGGCAACCACATTGAAAATCGATATAATACCTCTTGAATAAATTCAGACATCATTGGTGCTAAAGTACTGTCGGAAATGCTAGAAAACTACTTTTTGCTTGTTAAAAAGGGATATATTTTTTCACAGACTGTTGTTATTGAAATATCGAATAGCCCTACCCCTGGTTTGAAGTATTTCAGCCACAAGGAGTCCTATCGACAAGTTTACAGGAGACAAATTTGAACAAAAACGTGAAGTTCACATTTATTCTAAGTCCAATGATGGCAGTCTGAAACGGACTATAGAAATGTGCGCACGTGACGCCGTTACAATGATAATAATGTAGTCTTCATAAAACATCTACTCCACACACAAACATTTTGAGAAAATTCTAGATGTGCATCTAAAATGACAAAATGACGCTGCGTTTTCTTTTGTTAACATTGCTCCCATGCATTACACTTTCATAGCCATAACCAAGGTACATGATATGGAACCTGGACTTGGAAATGCATGCAAGTTCTTTACACTTTAGAGAGATAGAGGGAAACCATTTATTAATTTAGATAGGGTTACTTACCGAACTGCCCAAGCTATGGTGTTTTCAATTCATACCATTAAGTCTACGGTAGGATAAGAAAACAAAACAGGTATAGGGGTGGTCTCGAAAACAAAACTGGGGCGTAAAAGGATTCAGACAGCTTTGATACAGGGTGATTAGGCGTATAGTGTACAAGCTTTATGAGCAGAAGGTAACCCTGACTTGAAGTAGAACTTGGGTGGAATTAAAGATACAATTAATGTTTACCAGACTGCACTATTGCTCTCCAAGAGATGGGATTTTGATACACTGCGCGTGGAGATTACCGAGCACTTTTCAGGGGAAATATTCCATCCTGTCTATGAGGTCACATTATCTCCTAACCATTCATAACTATCAGAGTCAGGGCGTAAAGCACCCATGGTACCATCAGGTAAAGGTTATCGTGTCATTGTTTTGCACGCTGCAACCCATGATATGTACAGGGTTCGTGGCAAAACATAACACAACATTCCAAAGTACAGATTCATATACGTCATCAGCGGAGATAAATGCTACCTCAAGAAACCATCTGTAGAACAACAAATACTTCTGGATTCCAATACTCATCCCGTTTCATAGCTCTTAACTAGTCCATGTTTCCAAGCAAATATAATGCAGTACATATCCTAAATTGCTACCTCATCAACGCATGTCAATTAAGTACAATAACAGCAATATTTTGAGACCACCCCCAACTCGGTGACATTTGCACCTGGCAGAATGCACGGGACTGTGTGAGGTCATCACCTCGGGACAGGTGTTAGGTAATTACCTCAGGGTATAGGCCATTTCATACATGCATGACAACACACGAATATTTTCTAAGTTTATCATCATTTTACCTGTAAAAGTACATTTTAAGGGTAATCACAGTGTCAGTTAGTACAGGCTAGATTAGGGCAATATGCTCAATATGCTCTTATTATAGTCCTATGACTCGTATTTATTAAATGAAGCCAGAAAAGCCGTTTTCTAGCATTTCCGACAGTACTTTAGGAAGCATGTAAAATTTCAGGTTTGTTGGTTTCTGATGAGAATGCCTACAATGTAAGGACATACTCTTTGGGAGAATTTAGGAGTATGGACAAATTATCAAGGTTAACATCAAATCGCAATTAGAGCCCCACTACCAACTACAGGCAAACCAGGATGAGTTGTGACCTGACAATTAACCCCACATGTCTGAGGTCCACCCACTGGCGCACACCATTGTGAAAAAAGGGGGAGCGGGTGGTCCGAAAAGTATTAAGATGGATATGTTCATGTCCTGTCTCGAGTTTTAGTGGAGACTTCAAAAGCACATAATACAGTACATCCTGATGCGCGGTACCCGATGACTGAAAATTGTGACAGCTAAATTGCATTTGAGAAGTATCGTGACAAATGGACCAGTGGCAATGCCAGCTTTTGACAATTCTTGAGATTTATTTGTACATTCTTTTTCCATGTAATTTATGACATAGGCCAATTCTCAAGCCTAAGGATGTATGACTTGGCCATGCTTATCTAGCCTTGACATATTTGCTTGTAAGTAACTTCTATCACATGACTTTTAGAGAATTGTGGTATCGACTTGTTACACAGATCTCTTAATAGTCTTGTGAGCAAAAAGTGTGTCCATGGGAGTGTTATCAATTTCATGGTCATGAACTTGACGTGCAAAACATGCATACACCCTCTCTACCTGAAACAAACATGTTTTCCCAAATTCCTTGCACCGCCAACTTGTCTCAAAAACCTTTTATGAGTTGGTTCAACTTATGGAATACACTTATACCAAATTTCATTACATGAACAAACATGGCCACATTGAAATCTGATGGAAACAGGGTGTCATCTTTGGTAGGAACAAGCATGTGAAGTGTGAAAATGATGTGGGCAACAATGCCAGAATAATTCCCCATATAATTCTGATATATGTTGTCTGGTGTTAAAGTGAGTGAGTGAGTGAGTTTGGTTTTACGCCTCTTTTAGCAATATTCCAGCAATATCACTGAAATGGGCTCCACACATTGTACCCATGTCGGGATTCGAACCCGGGTCTTCGGCGTGACAAGCAAACGTTTTAACCACTAGGCTACCCGACCGCCCTCTGGTGTTAAAGAAAATTCAAAGTTGTGATCATCAAATTCCCCATAAAGCCAAAAAGTGGCTACTTAATGACCAAAATAATGTATTCATAATGCTGTTGGTGTAGTTATGAGAACTGTCACCATGGAACATGCAGACATTAATTAATGGCCATGATCAAGAACATAAAACACTCTTCTGGTCATCAGATCCGAGTACAAAACAGAAGACACAAATGGTATCTTTGCATTTATTTTTAAAATGCAAACGCAATCGAATTTCAACTTCTGTACATACTTCACTTTTGTTTTTTTAGGCTTATAAACAGACACCTTGGTTAAGTCTTGGTCTTGCCTCTGTCACACATCTCAGGGTAATCCAATAAGTAATTGGTAGTATCTAATATACACTGGTCAAACAATGAATGATGTCCTAGCAACAAGCACAATTAAGACTGGAACCCGGCTAAGAAACTTGTCACAATTGATTTCAGTTTTTCATCTGACTGGTCTGTGATTTTTCCATCCACTGCAATGGTCTTCAGCAAGTCTTGGTGGCTGCTCTTCAGATGTTGCAAGAATTCAGCTTCGAAAAGTGTGATTTTTGATGGATCTATTTTATCCAGATGACCTCTTACTCCAGCATAGATGACGGAAACTTGTTCCTCAATGGCCATCGGTACTGTAAACAGGATAAAGGCTTGTTACACCAAAATAAAGAATACGATTCCAAGTGGAATGTATTTCCACAAAGCAGTCTGCAACAAGGACATTTGTGTCTACCAGCACAAACTTTTCCAGTAGGTTCTAGTGGTAATATATGGACATTTATTAAAGCATGCTTACTGGACAGAAACAAGTTTGATTTTGACCCCTGGACAAGTGCCAAAAGTCACACATTGTAAAAATATCAAGACAAAGACGCTTATATTTCTTTTGTCAACTCGTAAACTGTTTACTTATTTGCATAAAACAGGACTCATTTGGCAATTGCTGTCTTGACCTGACCTGGAGTAGAAGTGGTCTCTGGAGACATGTCTGCTGTACTTCAGGTAACAAGTTAACCCTTGTTCTAATCGTAAGGCTTCAGCAAATGGATAAATAGCATTGTCAGGTCCGTAACTGAATTCATACCTGCTAGAACTCTCACTAGAAGTGACAACTAACACACGCTTCACTTACCATACTGTCCCTGTTTCAACAGCTCAGTGAGACGAACTCCTCTGTTGAGCAAGTTCTGTGTGGCCTGGTCCAAGTCAGAACCGAACTGGGCGAAAGCTGCAACCTCTCGGTACTGGGCCAACTCCAACTTCATGGAACCAGCGACCTGTTGCAAGAGAACAAGAATTATTATCAGCAACTGGCACATTGACAGGCAGCAAAAGTTATCGCTTCTATTAATACTGACAGATGAAACATTCAGTGTCTTATGATCTAAAAAATCACATGCAGAAGATAGGCAATATGTCACCTGTTTCATGGCCCTGGTCTGAGCAGCAGATCCTACTCTGCTGACAGACAGACCTACGTTGATGGCGGGACGGATACCCTTGTAGAAGAGCTCAGTCTCCAAGAAGATCTGTCCGTCTGTGATGGAGATTACATTTGTGGGGATGTAGGCTGACACATCACCGGCCTGGGTTTCAATAACAGGCAGAGCAGTAAGGGAGCCACCCTGATGGTCGTCATTCATTTTGGCTGCTCTCTCCAGAAGACGAGAGTGAAGGTAGAAGACGTCACCAGGGTAGGCCTCACGACCAGGGGGACGTCGCAGAAGCAATGACATCTGACGGTAGGCAACAGCCTGGAGACAGAAAGTTAATTTTTAAAAACTTGTGGATTTCAAATTCAATAGTTGCACACAATGTTGCAAAATTCCAATGATTTGAAATTATAACCAATACCAAATTCATACCGAGCTTGAAGTAATTTAGAAACTAAACTAGATTAATAATTTCAGTGTAATTGTTAAAGGCTAGTTACCTGTTTTGACAAATCATCGTAGATGATGAGGGCGTGCATGCCGTTGTCTCTGAAGTATTCTCCCATGGCACAGCCTGAATATGGAGCCAGGTACTGCAGGGGTGCAGCATCAGAGGCTGTGGCGCTCACAACAATGGTGTACTTCATGGCATCTGAGGTGAAGATGAAGGAGTCAAATATGGGAACTACTCACCACAAAACTTCAGTTGCATGCATAATGCCATCCCAAAAAAACTTAAAATAGGCATGTCCAATGCAAGTTTCTGATCACAATCATCAACACACTATGCCTGACTTGGATTGCAGGGATAATTCTAAGGTAGGGTGCTTTTAGCCCCTAAATTTGAAAAAAAGGACAGCATTTTCTAATACAATAGGATTTTAACATAGTGCTGTATGGGCATACCTATGGAATATTTGAAATTTTCATATAAAGGGCTCATGTCAGAAAATTCCTAGAGTTACCAATAAGAAATATGGTTTAACAACATTGCTGAGCATGTGTGCTTTGTTATATTACAGCTGTTGTAAACTGACATACATATCTTTGCTGCAATTTCTTGACCAACTGACCAAAGTAATTCTAGTCATATCAGTTTAATACGGATGTTCCTGAAATTCCTACATACCAGCGTCTGTTAGCCTTTTGACGAGCTGAGCGACAGTGGATCTCTTCTGTCCAATGGCAACATAGATACAGTACAGTTTGGCTTTTTCATCTGAACCCTCATTGAATCGCTTCTGGTTGATGATGGTATCAATGGCAATGGCAGTTTTACTGCAAATAAATAAGCCAGGTAGCAAATATAACTATTAAAAAAGAAATTCTTCATGTTTGCTGATTTCTTGTAACAAGTTTCGTTAAATGTCACTTGTTACACCGATATTCCTTGATGCTCATAATTTCTTGCCTCAGATATATAGTGATTTACACAAATAAATTCACATTCAAACACATTCGGGCCTGCAATTTCAATGACTAATCAAATGGAATGTTTAAGATTTGTAACAAACCCTGTCTGTCTGTCACCAATGATGAGCTCTCGCTGTCCTCTGCCAATGGGCACAAGACTGTCTACCGCCTTGATACCGGTCTGCATAGGCTCTTTCACAGATGTACGTGGAATGATACCAGGGGCTTTGACTCCCACTCGAGCCCTTTTACCAGGGATTGCTCCCTGAAACAAAATGACACTATTCAGCAACCATGACAGGATTTATATTGTGCAGAGTTACACATATCTTTTCATCATCCTCTGACTCCACAAAATTTGACAAGTTCTAAAATAGCACTGACATACTGAATACTGAAATCCACGAGAAAAGATAATGTAAATTATGGTAAATTACATTATACTGTATTAAATGGTTTGTCAGATCTTGAGTATCTACAGGGCACCATGGTATAGCTTGAATATTCAACCATGATGCATTGGTGTTCATGTAGCCAACTTCAGATGTAATTTTCATGCCTACAAATAGCATTACCTCGCCAATTAAGAAGAGTTATCAATGTTCATCAGAAGAATATTGCCTAATTTGTTTGATGCAGTTAATTATTCCTGAAACATGATTTCATCATAGCTTTTTACAGTTGCTACGGAAACTGTACATCACAGATTTAACTAGTTCTAGCTCTAAATTATCAGTCTTTGTCTTTAAATCAATTTCTGCTATGCAAACTATAAAGTTTTTCACACATATTTTAAGACAATTTCTCACTTTTCCATCAATAGCATTTCCCAAGGCATCTACAACTCTACCAAGCAACTCTGCTCCAATTGGGACATCCACGATGGCTCCTGTTCTCTTCACAATATCACCCTCCTTGATAAGCTTGTCATTACCAAACACTACAACACCAACATTGTCAGGCTCCAAGTTCAAGGCCATACCCTGAAAAACAAGACAGTTGCAGCATTAGATACAAAGCATTTATGTTCAGCTACATATTCAAAAGAAGTTAATTCTACTAATAAAAAATCAATCCGCCCACCTTATCCATTCTGAATGAGTGATTCTGGGTGTCTCATTGTAACAATTTGGTTAAAAAACCAGGACCAATAAAACAGTGACCTCAGTTCACGGTGAACTACACAGTCATGTACATAATCATTATTAATAAATTGAGAATAGGATTAAGAAGGTAGTTTCAGATGTTACTGTATTTTATATGGCACATAGGGCAAGTTATCTTAAGACCAAAATTAAAATGGGTAGAAAAGTATGTCCGCTATTGCCCAAAACGAACAGCTCTCGTTTATGCTTGTTTGTCTACAGCTAGCAATATATATATATTTGTTGCCAAGTAATTTAACAGTGTTGCCTGTATATATACAATGTTTAAAGGGTTAAATATCATTAAAATCTCAATAAAACTCAATCCATTTTTCAAGTCATGTCTTGTGAAATATAGATGAATGAACTGTCAAATGGAACCACCATCGGAAATAGCACTCATCCATGCTAGTTGGGGAGCACTGAATATTTACACTGATTTCCCCCCCGAAACTTCAGCATGTTCAATGTTGAAGGAATCATTGCTTGGACTACCTACTGTATTCTCTTGATTGATAAAAATCACACTATACGGGTGCTACCTGTTTTTGCAGCAAGTGTAAATATTCGAGTCTGGACCAGACAAGTGGCCGACATAACGAGCATCAATTTACGTAATTGGTATACAATGACATGCATCAACCAAATCAGCATGTCTGACCACCCGATCACCCGTTAGTTGCCTCTTACGACAAGCATAGTCACCTTTTACAGCACGCATGGGTCGCTTAAGACCTATTCTCAACTCAGATCTTAACAGATCAGTCAGTAATAGTTGCCATACTAAATCTGTAGGAATTGGCCTTTCAGAGGCTAATCTGATATATGATCTTAGCAGCTTGAATATATGAAAGGAGCTTCTGTGTAACGTTCCAAATACCTTCAGCCCACTGGAGAATTCCACCATCTCTTCTGCCTGAATATTTTTGAGACCATAAACACGAGCAATACCATCACCAATGGAGAGTACTCTGCCTGTCTCTTCCAGCTCTGCAGCTGCAGACTGACCAAGGATACGGTCTTCAAGAATGGAAGACACCTCAGCACCTGGAAATAATATAATAATTTAGAATAGTTTTGCTTTGAGTTTGTTACAAATTTGTTTGCATGTCTATTGTACAAGATGCACTCAGCAATAACAACTATATGAGCATGGTGAGCAAGTTAACTTTAACGTCACATCGGCACTATTATCAGCCATATAGCTACAAGAACACATTACAATATCCACAAGCATCGGCTAGTAAATAATCAATTCTGGACCAATCAATCCAGTGCTTGATATTTTGAATAATGTCCTTCAACAAAGTGATACAATGACACACAACCAACCCAGTCACAAAGCCTGACCAATCGATCTAGTTAGTCCTCTTACAACCAGCAAAGGTTGACCATTTCTAACCCAAAATCACTATGTATTGTAATTACATGCCTATCCATTTGGAGATAGTAAAAGAAACTTATTTATTCATATGAAAAATGTAATGGAAAGAGAACACATTACAATATCCACAAGCATCGGCTAGTAAATAATCAATTCTGGACCAATCAATCCAGTGCTTGATATTTTGAATAATGTCCTTCAACAAAGTGATACAATGACACACAACCAACCCAGTCACAAAGCCTGACCAATCGATCTAGTTAGTCCTCTTACAACCAGCAAAGGTTGACCATTTCTAACCCAAAATCACTATGTATTGTAATTACATGCCTATCCATTTGGAGATAGTAAAAGAAACTTATTTATTCATATGAAAAATGTAATGGAAAGCATTGTAGTGGAAGTAGCATCTGAATTTAGATACGTAAGAGGCAGAAGCAAATGTAAGCAACAAAAGCATGTGATTACAAATAATATGATTTGAAGTTAGCAGTGTAGGAGGGCCTTGTTGACGAAAGCTTCAATCATTTGATATCTGTGCCTACACATAAGCCTGCAACTTTAATCAGAAGTCCAAAGCCCATAAACACTTCTGAAATGGATGTACAAGGACAATTTTTTATTAAAAGTAACTGGTTTCCTTTTACAGAGTGACAGTTCAGGGACCAAGGTTATTTAACCCCCCAAAATAACCATCGCCCTCCATTTCTGAGCATCAGTCTCTTGGCCATATATTTCTGAAGTCAGCCCCACAGTTGACTTGATCCACAATACATAAATCGATCTGAAGCTCCATGAATACAGGAATAAGGCAAGCATTATTAGTATATATCATATAGAAGCTCTAAAGTGTAGTGATTGTACCTGCAGCAAATGCTGGTTTTGAGGTGTGAACATTTCTAGCTGCAACAAAACCAGCCCCCAGAGCATGTTTGCACACCTGGAACAAAACATCAACACATCAAGTAGTTTCATAATTAATATGTCAGCATGGTGATTTTAATGATTTTGTCTTGGAAAGGTTGCCTGAAGTATTGTGAACTTGAACTGACCTTTCTGTGTTTTTACATTTTTCCAAAAATCTTATACTTGACACTGAGATCAGTATTCGACTGGTGAAGTAATAATGCAAATTGTGTATAATTATTTATCTTCTCCCCATTATCAGCAGGTATCTCCAAGTTCCAACCTGATTGGCACAGTCTAACTACATGTTATCCATACACAAAGGTGCTCAGAGTCAGTGTTTCCTTTCAGACATAAGGTACAGGAACATATACATACTGAAATTTCTCAAACATGCGACTGCCATTAGGCCTAGACAGACCCTACCAATCAAGCACTGACAGGACTTGGAAACGGTATGCACTGCAAATTTCCATGTGCACTTTCCGTGGATACCAACGTGGGTTTACAAAACACTAATTGTGTCATAGTGTTGTTCGATGCAATGTTGATGCGAAAATGGTTAATCTGTGTGTGTTCAGTAGAAGATTTAAAGTAAAATATTAAGATTTGGGACCAAAGATTCATTCACGAAGGTCAATTCAAGTTTACAACACGTCCTTCTTAGTGACAACCTTTCCAAGACACAAAAATGCTACCGAAGCGATAATAAATATATGCCATCGTATAAAATACTGTCTACCTATTTGTTTACTATTTATTTAATTAGAACTGGACGGATGTGCTTGGAAAGCATGTCTACATCCGCCGGCGACCTTGGGCTGATCTTGCAATCAGCACATAGAACTTATTACGATTGGTTATTTCTCAAGTCTGTTAGACAATAGACGGAAAACAAGTACACATGCATATACAGCAACTCTTTGGTACCTTAGGTGCAGCTCTGGGGAGCTGTCGTGCCAGTGCTGATGCTAGTCTTGCCGAAAGCATGGCTGTGGTTACTCTCTCAGCCGACCAATATGGCCGTCAAAAGCAGGAGACCGTGCGCAGGAACGCGATTCCCCGTGGCACCCGCCGGTTATCCTCGAACCCAGCTTGCCGTGCCGTAAAACTTAGTGTAGCCGAGATAGTCGAGGCCTTGAGAAGGTGCTATATGTCCGGTTTTATATATCGCAACTTTGTTTTATCCCTTGGTCATATCAAGCAGCACCGCTCTCATCAGTTGAATCGTATCTGACTTAATCACCATGAGGGATTAATAACAACGCCGTTTCATGATGGATTGGACAGGGTTTTAAAGGAAAAATTGCTCAGTAACACAAAAACTGAAAAGTCCCTTCGTCATGTCAGTGTAGGCTTAGGCACTGTATTTACTAGTTTACATTATGAGTCTGAGAAAATTACCACATACAGTGAGGTAGATCATAAAACATTAGTGAGTTGACAGTGGGGTCTCAATTACTTATCCTACAACAGCAAAATGTCCCGAAACAGCTTCCCTTAGCATGATATAGAGTTCAGATGTGCGAACTTCACGTCTGTAATAACCAGTCGGAAATATCTATATTACTGCACATGGGCGGATACAGAGGGGGGTGCGGCACCCCCCCCCCCCCCCCCCCCCCCCCCCTTTTATTTCGAAAAAAATCTTTATTTCTGTATAAATGACCACCAAAGACAATAAATAGATCTTAATTGTGCACCCCCCCTTTTCAAAAAAGCTGTATCCGCCCATGCTGCATCATATACCGAATGCGGTAACCTCATACTCTATAGGGTATCCTATAGCTTTACCACATATCACAAAAAGGGCGATTGTTATCGACCGGGGATATGACATACACTGTTTTCCTTCTTCATGCTTGTTTGTTTGTTTGTTGTTGTTTTACGTCACACTCAGCAAAATTCCAGCCACATGACGGTGATCTGTAAATAATCGAGTCTGGACCAGACAATCCAGTGGTTGACATCATGAGCATCGATCTACGCAATTGGCATTTGATGACATGCATCAACCAAGTCAGCCAGCCTGACCACCCGATCCCGTTAGTCGCCTCTCATCACAAGCATAGTCGCCTCTTACGGCAAGCATGGGTTGCTGAAGACCTATTCTAACCGGGATCTTCACGTGTTTCTACGTGTATGTATATATAGTTATCGGATTCAATGGGGATTCATTGTTACTGAAGATGCACAACTTACTATTCTGCACTGGCTGCAAACTGACGCATGAATGTTTAATGCGGGTATCTCGTCTTCAGGTACTACAGGCTTCTGGGCCGATGGGCAGTCAACAATTAAAGATTACAATCCACAGATTAGACGGTTTCTTAACAATCAGATTAACATATACCCGAAGAGGTCTTATTGATTTGCGATCAGGTGTCCGTACACAATATTGTTATACTTAAAATCTTTGATCTTCCATACACACAACAAAGATTTTATGAAAACGGTTAAGCAAATCTCAAGTGTTCGTAAAAGAGTGTAATAAATATAGATATTAACACATTCACCTGTGATCGAATGCCATGATGCTGTATATAGCTGTCCAATCAAATCACTTTCTTGAGCGCGAGCAATTTCGTGGTAAAGTAGAAATAGGAGCCATGGCTGTGTTAACATCGCTTCCGATGCAAAGCAATGGCAGCGAGTGACTTTTAGGGGTTTTATTAAAATAACAAAATACACTGAATAATCGAGGATGGTGAAGATTTAAAGGTAGACATAACAGCAATAGAAACTATCATAGTTAATCCACTAGTCCTTACCATGATAATGTATAACAAAACCCTTAAAAATAGCGAATTTCTACTGGTCCGTATGATACAAAAACACTCTGCAGAGCTGAGCTGTCATTCTTTCCCTAAAACTTACAGACATTAATAGAAATGTGAAATGATACTGGCATATTGGCATATCTGACATGTGACCAATATTGTTTAAAATTATTGTTTTTTAATAAAAGACTTAGTGTTAATGTGGCCAAAAACAGCATTGTATCTTGGATAATCTTGGAATCGATAAAGTGCTTCACACATTGTACCCATGTCGGGGAATCGAACCCGGGTCTTTGGCGTGACGAGCGAACGCTTTAACCATGCACTAGGCTACCCGACCGCCCCGTTACTGAAAGGTGTTTAGAAGACCTAATCCATCTTAAAACTTCGTTAACCATGTACTATTCCGTCGTATGATATCCTTGTATAATGTCAGCCAGCTACTGTACCCGACTTGACATCCGTGTATATAATATATGTCCTCTACTAACCATCGTATACTATGTGTGTATGCTGTGTCAGTCAGAAATATGGAACACTCGATCCTAAACATTAATCATTGAAACAGTAGTCTAACTGGGAAGATGTCTCTATTTCCCAAATTATTCGGGATAATAAAGTGTTATCTTATATTATTGTCCAATTTCCCAACGCACATGGACAAACAACTTTAACACATATCACATGATTGTGACGCCCAGCAGAGCTATGACTCTTACATATGTCAATCACTGGTGACAGAAGGACACCAGAGATCCCGGCCCGGGGTTTGTTTGAACTATTTCAGTTACCTCAGTTCGAAAAAACCCGATCTTGAATAAAAGCATGACCCTATTCAAGTGCAAAACAATGCTTTTATATAAACGTATGTTTCATGTTATCCCCTGCGTATACTGGAGCAAATTTTAAGGTATTTCGGATTGTTATTGGTGCTATTTTATGATACCTGTGTTTAAATATCGCCAAACTGTTATTCCGGGATCTTATTCTATTCAAACTATCCTGGATTTTTTAGTTTTGACTATGCAGTACATAATTGAAAGAACGTTTTCACTCATATAAATAATTGCACTGAAAACAACCCAAATAGGGCCCCGAGGATACCGTTTTGGCAGTCTAGCTGACGTTATTTATAAATGTAGAATATGATTTTGTTATCTGATATCTTACGAACCCAAGACAAGGTTATTTAGGTAGCATACATATATGTTTTACACGAACTCGTGTTTTCATACCTAAAAGAAACAGGAATTTCTTTGGTTTGAGAGTAGGAAGCAATCACATGACTTTCTATAAATATCTCATGACGGAAGAACATCTGACGGGTTGAAAAGCAGACAAGTGCGTGTTTATCATCAACTGTCGTTACTGAGAGGACTTTGTCAACGACATTCCGCAACATGGCTGGTGGATGTACTGTAACTTCCAAGATCTGTTTAGTAGTGGTTGGACTGATATTTTGGGTAAGATATTGACAACGTTTTTGAGTCACGATATCATGGCGCGCCATGACATTTCCCCAACAACAACACGATCTAATGTCAATGGAGACTCACGAAACATCACAAATCCAAGTGCAACACTCGGGCAGTTCTTAACAATTCTTGGCAGATACTTAATTTTACTGTGAATCCAATTATTAAAGACGTATATTTGATACGCGTTTGGTTTTGATACACTACATGTATTTGTATTATTTTATCATGCAGTAGGGATACTGGGTCCTTGTCACAGGTACAAGAGAAATATACCCCAGGTACCTTTCTGTATCAACAAATGTACCCTAGCTACCTACCTGTATCCTCATATGTACCCTAGGTACCTTTCTGTATCCTCAAATGTACCCTAGGTACCTTTCTGTATCCACAAATGTACCCTAGGTACCTTTCTGTATCCTCAAATGTACCCAAGGTACCTTTCTGTATCCACAAATGTACCCTAGGTACCTTTCTGTATCCTCAAATGTACCCTAGGTACCTTTCTGTATCCTAAAATGTACCCTAGGTACCTTTCTGTATCCACAAATGTACCCTAGGTACCTTTCTGTATGCACAAATGTACCCTAGGTACCCTTCTGTATCCACAAATGTACACTAGGTACCCTTCTGTATCCTCAAATGTACCCTAGGTACCCTTCTGTATCCACGAATGTACCCTAGGTACCCTTCTGTATCCTCAAATGTACCCTAGGTACCTTTCTGTATCCACAAATGTACCCAAGGTACCTTTCTGTATCCACAAATGTACCCTAGGTACCCTTCTGTATCCTCAAATATACCCTAGGTACCTTTCTATATCCACAAATGTACCCTAGGTACCCTTCTGTATCCTCAAATGTACCATAGGTACCTTTCTGTATCCACAAATGTACGTTTGTATGGCACTGACTATTTTCACAGAGCCATAGTATGTTGATTACCTTAATCCCCTACAATTCTAACTCTAGAGCCATTGATATTGCCACCCTAGTGTACATTTATGTATACAGAAAACTGCCTGGGGTGTGTTCTTGTCATACCTATTTTGACAAAGCTCTTGAAAGCGATGTTTATGGCGCTGGAGTCCAGATTGTAGGAGATTAAGGTAAACAGCCCAATTGTGTTGTGAAAATAGGCAGTGCTGTATATATGTTACCCACTTAGGGTACATGTGTGTATACAGAAATATAATGGAGTACATGTTTTAGTACCTGTTCCGATAGCGACCCTGACCATTGCAGTAGGTTGTGGTTGCCAAAACATTCTGGGAATTGGGAAAAAGAAATTGTACAGCAAAGGATAAAAGTGATCTACAAACATTTGTTATATTCAGAAGTGTAAGTGAGTTTGTTACAATTCATCATCATTAGCAGTGTCATTCTTCATCATGTATATAATTTCAATATATTTATTTTACCTCAAAGTGGAACTTTTGACTGATTTTATTAGAATATTTCTGATTGTGATGAGTAAACTTGACTGCTAATGCTATAGGACATATTACAAATACAGTAGACATGGTAGGTAAGAAATTGGCCCAAATATATTTTAGGAAAAGACAAGTAGGGAATGTCATGTGAAGAGTTGATATAAACAAAACTCCCACAATGCACCTTTAGTTCCATCATTGTTTACAGTCTGTTTATTACTCCTGGGGGGCACGGGTGGCCCAGTCGTCTAAGGCGCCGCGATTCGCTGTGCAGAGTTGCGTCCCTTGGGCACGCCAGAAACCTATGATTGTGGGTTCGAATCCCGGTTCGCCCCGATTATTTTTTCTAGGTTTGTCAGCACCGTACCCGTGCTCGTGGGTTTCACCGAAGTGGTAAATGTCTGAGACCTGCATCACTTGGGGCTTTCCTCCCACATTAAGCTGACACGCCGCGATATAACTGGAATACTGTTAAAAGCGACGTTAAACCCAACTCACTCACTCACTCACTATTACTCCTGGTTTGCATCCATTGACTGACGACATTACTAAAACCATTAGTGAATCATAATCACCAACATAGATGAATGCAACACTCAAGATATGTGAAATGGGCTGTATGAGATGCATAGCATATGTAGTCCAGACAATGGCGATAACTTCCATGGTTCATGAATGGGAAATATCCACTGTTGTACTTCCCTCTCAATGTAGAATAACACAAAACAACTGGAACATAACAGTCCCCATTATTAAACTACTCTAATATGATCTCTTATCCATGTACAGAACTCTTTTGAACATGTTAAATAAATAATGATATAAAAACCTGGGTTTGCAAGTATTCTTGTAATATCTGAATCACTATAGTTTTTAAATGTTTTGATTTAAGTTTTGAAGAAGTCATAAGTATTTGAAATAACAACACATGTTTACCTGTCTGGAATTAAATATGCAAAAGGTGATGTGTTCATGGTGTTGGTAGGTTTGAATTTAACACAAACTAAAAAACAAGACATCTTGTATTTTACTTTTGATTTTGGATATATCAAATATAGGTGATGTTGTCAGCTTCCAGTTGTCTAGGCATGTTATCACTAGTCTGTCTCACAGTCCCTGAACCATATTATTTTCCCAGCCAAGCCCAGCCCAGCCCAGGTCACTGCAAAAGCCCTGCTTAATTGTTTTTCACCAGGTTCCGAATGTCCCATCTCACTGGGGATCCTTTTCAATCTAAATAGAGTTATTTGTTTTCATCAAAATTGCATACTTTCAGAGACTATGCGTTAGTCTAATGTTTTGACCAGAAATTTGGCTTGTGAATTTTCAAAGAAATTTAAGCCCCCCAAAATGAAATTTTGCATTAATCTGGAGAATGATAATGCAAAACGATTTAAGTGGTTTTGTTAGATCAATTAGAATCAGGACCACCTGCAAAAAATCCTTAATTTATTAATAATTATCTGTCAGAATTGATGGATACTGCTTGTTGATGTTTCAGTCAACTGTCCCTCACCCTGGATAACACTCGCAATAGGTGCATGAGTTTGCTACTGACCTGGTTTAAATGCCCAGAGCACTAATTATCTCAATTTCTTTAAAGACAAGTAAACATATATCCTACATGTAAACATATATCCTACATGTAAACATATATCCTACATGTAAACATATATCCTACATATATAGAGGTTATCACGCAAGTGTGTTTGGGGATGGTAAATAACCTGCATTAGGAATAAACATTGTATTTAGCGAGCCTTGTCGTTTTGCGTATGTGTTGCTTCGCCACTGTATAAGAATCAGATTTCAGTTGGAACTATATTGGCTACTGTCACTGTCCGACTGACACATCACTTACCCTGTGACGTAATAAATATTAATGCGCGCATTCCAGGAAAACTCGCAATGTTTCGGTAATGTTTATGAAAGAGGGAAAGCGATTTTGAAGCACAGAATTAAAGAATGACATTATATGATAAAGAGGTTATCACGCTTGTGTGTTTGGGGATGGTAAATATCCTGTATTAGGAATAAACACTATGTATTTAGCTTACCAAGGCTCGCTAAATTCAATGTTTATTCCTAATGCAGGATATTTTCCATCCCCAAACACACTCGCGTGATAACCTCTTTATATCCTACATATAAACATATATCCTACATATAAACATATATCCTACATATAAACATATATCCTACATATAAACTGGAAAACATATTCAACATATATACAGGTAAACAAATACATGTATTCCATAAGAAAACTTTCAATTGGCCAATTTTATGAATGCATAATGGATGTGCACAATTCTTGTTCAGCTTTAACTTTCATCATACAACTTGAAATGAGTCCGAGATCTTAGATCTTAAAAAAAAATGCTGTAGTAATTGAAGGAAGGTGACATGCTAAACATGATGAACCTATTGTTGGTTGTTGTTTCAGAACCCCCGGCAACACTTGTTGCCTTGACCCAACAAGGTTTGCAAGACAAGAATGGCCATTAAGCATGTTATGATGAACAAATAAACAATTTCTGTTGAAGTTCCTGAATGTTTTTGTAAGGACTAGTGGTGTACTGATAAGAATATGTTGCATCAAATACATGTATGACTGATGTGAAGTTTTATTAGGATTGTTTTGGATGTAATAACATTACATATGTAGGAGTTATTTCAAGTTAAATACTTCAAGGTATGAAAACGTCTTGAATTGAAATGAAGTCTATGGAATGCTTCATGCTTTTAGTACACTTCTGTAAGAATCATATGAATGGTTGTTTTCTTTCTTAACCGATGCCTTCACAACTGTGCACTCTAGGAATGCAAGCATGACTCTGGATGAACAGTTGCTACTGGTTACAGCAGAACTGTTACATCTCAATACACAACAATCGATACTGACCCACCCTGGAAAGCAGGACGGCATGCAGAGTCTTAAAATTCATGCTGATTACGTTGATCAATATTATGCCACAGATTATTGATCGTTTCATTTCACATCAATAACCTGCCCAATCGAATTTGAATGCAAGAGCTCTTGACATGATTACCTCCCTTGGCATCTTAGTGTTAATTTGTGTTTTGGTATGTTTAAGTCTCCTGTATTTTCTACGTACTTGCCAGGGTTTGAAATTCTTGTATTTTGGTGCCCACGGCACACTCAGACATAATATTTTAACATCAAGTCATTGTGACATTGCGTATTATATAAAGTTAACAAAAAACATGACAAACGCATGGAAAATGATGAACATGTGAACATGCATAATGCACAGTATTATTCACAAAATACTTTTGGGCATGTTTGGGTATTCACTATTCAGAAATGAAAAAGGGTATTGTCAATCTCGATCAAAAGGAAAGGGGCAAACTTTCAAGATTACAATCAACTAGCCATGTTGAAATGACGTTCACCCAGTTGTTGATGAATCAGACTTCTTGTTCTAATTGGCACATTTAAGCTCCTAAGGACACACAACCTTGAAAATAACTACATTTCTGTCCCTACAGTGTAAGACAGAGACCAACAGTACTCTAGTATTTATGATACATGGTTAACAATATTTAATAATGTTGTACAAGAAGGATTGAGTGAATTTGTTTACCACCACTTTGTAATTATGTAGGGGGACCCATGAAGATCCAGGGTAGAATAGGTCTTCAGCAACCCATGCTTGCCATAAAAGGCGACTATGCTTGTGGTAAGAGGTGACTAACAGGATCGGGTGGTCAGGCTCGCTGACTTGATTGATGCATTATTTCCCCATTGCGTGGAATGATGCTGATGATGTCAATCACTGGATTGTCTGGTCCAGACTTGAATATTTGCAGTCTGCCGTCATATAGTTGGAATAGTGCTGAGTGTGGCGTTAAACAACAAACAAAAACAAACATTATGAAGTGTATATCTAGTTTTGGGAATAGGTTGTGAAATCATGATCGATGATTGAATCATCCTAACCGATAGGTCATTAAAAATTAATCAGTTTAAATAGCATCATTTTGCAGTGTTATGTTCATTGATTATGTATTGTGCAGGTCTATTTTAAACCAAACACAGCACTGTATTCTTTTTAAGAAGACACTGGCCTCCTTCTTTCTCACTTTGTCTCTCCAAGACGTTAAGAAGTAAATAGTAAATATGCCTTCTCAGGAAACCAAACCGTCTCATAATCGAATATGTTGAGAGTGTAGGCAAAATCGTTTGGATATTGCTTGACCTTTCTGTCCGTCTTTGAGTATTAGCGGTGTCACCACTAGTTTTACCACATCAAAGTGATGCAGGTCTTAACCCAGACTAACAGAAACATAAGCAGGACGTGTTATATGACCAAACAATTTCATCTTTTGCTTAGAAAAGAAACAACAGAAACTTGGCAATGTTTAAAACATATTCTGTTATTCAATACTATACCATGGAATACTACACTGCAGGTATAAGTAAAGGTCAGTTCTTATTGTAACTGTCATTTGCACCTGTGTAGAAGTCACTCACTCATACCTGGTAGGATCTTGTATGTATATGTATGTTTACAATCCAATACGGATGATGTAGTTTCCAGGAACCCAAATCATTTAACCTTCATTTCTGATCAAAATCGTGATGAGGTGAAATGGGGTTTTATCATAATGTCACGTTCAAGATTATTGCACTTATATAGCAACGTGCATGTGTGTGTGTGTGTGTGTGTGTGTGTGTGTGTGTGTGTGTGTGTGTGTGTGTGTGTGTGTGTGTGTGTGTGTGTGTGTGACTGCTTGTACTAGTGTGTGTGTGTGTGTGTGTGTGTGTGTGTGTGTGACTGCTTGTACTAGACCGGACTAATGCCGGTTTTATGGTGCTAGCCCAGGGTTACCATGCCACAGTTTAACATGCATACCCCACCCAGACACAGTATACTTACTCCGTACTGACCAGTCTTGGGCAGGATAAGTACCATCATTTAACGTCTTTGGTAGGATGCTGCCAGGGATTGACGCAGCACTCAGCAATATTACAGCTTTATGATGGCGGTCTGTAAATAATTGAGTCTGGACCAGACAATCCAGTGATTGACATGAGCATCGATCCACACAATTGGGATCGATGATATGCATCAACCATGTCAGGAAATCTGACCACCCAATCCCGTTAGTCGCCTCTTGCGACAAGTAGTGAAAATTAAATGGCTCCATCATGACCATTTTGTAGCAATAATAATCATATTGCCCATATGCTTCAGAATGCGGTCCTTTTTTCTCAAGGTGGTGAGCCACTTACCCATAAGGATTCAAATTAGTCAAATATTCTGAAATACAGTTCGGTCTTGGAGTGTAATTTGGTAAGCATGATCCCTTAATGTTTTAATGCATTGCAACAGAGTAGGGAACCTGGGTGCTCAAGCAGAGAAACTGGTAGAGATGAACCAACTCCCCTGGTGATTAAACAATACGCTTGTGTGCATTACAGCATGAAGGAAGTGGCAGACAATCATTCATTATTTAGTGGTTATCTGACGTCTCACTCAGAGTTGTTTCCCCTGAGGTGACTCATTATGTGTGAGGGGATAATGACTTAATCTTAAGTTCTGTTTCCTTATAATTGTTAATCTGTTTTCCATGATTTGTGTCATTCAATAATGCCTTGTGTAAGATTGCATAATTATGTAATGCGTGTAGATGAAACTCTGTTACAAAGTAGATACAATCTTTTATCGGGTAGAATTTGAATTTCCATGGACAAGTGTTGCGAAAGTGAAGGAGAATAACTTTATCATTGATCTATCTCATGTTTCATTGGTTAACAGTGAGTAACCACGTGATTGTGTTACTGTTTGATAAGGCACCATGTCCTTTTCGAATCGACGATTGGAATCTGTTGGTTTTCAAATTTGTTTGTCGCCAAAGCTTTTCTGAATGTTAATGTCAGAAAGTGATCAGACATCTTCCCGAGCCAAGGGAGTTTCAAGCCTTGGCTGGACTAATGAGTCTATGCATAGTCCAATCAAAATTGCGTAAACAAAATCGACATCCGGTTCGTAAACTGACATGCAGATTTCGGTCTTTTGCAAGATTTGCAAGGGTTTACAGTAGGAGGGACAAAGAAGGGACAAAGAAGGGACAGAACTCGTAATAGCCACTGTATACACATTAGTTTTAATATGCTAGGATTTTATTTGTCTTGAGTATTTTAAGCAAATATTCACCTTACCTGGAGCACTGATGTCACATGCTGAACAGTGTACTGAACGGGGGGGGGGCAACTGTGATATTTAAGGGTGATCTGTAGGCCAACAGATCTAACAGGGTTGCTGCCACGCTTTGTGATATTTTCAGGGTGAGCTACAGGCCAACGGGGTTTCCATGGTTACTTCAAATTGTGATATTTTCAGGGTGCTGCTGCAACCCTCTGCTTCATAGGAGCATGGGTCTACTCAACGTACAGCCACTTTGACGAGGTGACGGAGGCAAGCCTCACTCTGGTGCCAGCCAGCATCATCATCAGCGGGGGCATCTTCATGTTCATCATCGGGCTCCTTGGCTGCATCGCTGCATGTAAGGAAAACAAGTGCCTATTAGCAGCGGTGAGTTTTACAATGATACAGGGAAGTTCATCGGGGATGCAACTTGGTAGTAGCCGATAAGCCCATTGGACCATTAGACCATAAGACCATTAGCATGATTAGCCCAATACAGTCTAGAGTTTAAGGTATCCTTGAAGTTACATGTAGTAGTAGTCAGGCTTGTTACTGCATGTCTATACATGTTTTCACTATTAGTAAATGTTGAACTGTCTTTTTACTAGGGCTAGCTAAAAAGATTGATAATCTGAAGTTATCGTTGATGGGAAGAAATATTAACTATTATTATGAAAAGTATCATCGATAATGACTTACATAAACTATTGTGATGAAATATTGTTTAACTTAACCGACATAGACTTGTCATTGTCTATCATGTCAATTGCCGAAGATGAAATGCAACTGTTTTTGTTATATCTCAAACCACTCACCAGTGGGATGAAACATGTTGATTTCTTACAGACTTTTTATGATATTTGCTCAAATTTACCTTTCCAATATTGATTGATATTAATTAAATGATTATGAATCTCTATGATCTATATCAATAGCCAGCCCTACTTTGTACAGACTACAAGCCTATAAGTCACTACTGGTCTATAAGTCACTTCTGGTCTATAAGTCACTTCTGGTCTATAAGTCACTACTGGTCTATAAGTCACTACTGGTCTATAAGTCACTTCTGGTCTACAAGTCACTACTGGTCTACAAGTCACTACTGGTCTATAAGTAACTACTGGTCTGTAAGTCAATGGTCTATAAGTCACTACTGGTCTATAAGCCACTTTTGGTCTATAAGTCACTACTGGTCTATAAGTCACTACTGGTCTATAAGACACTACTGGTCTATAAATCACTACTGGTCTATAAATCACTACTGGTCTATAAGTCATTACTGGTCTATAAGTCACTACTGGTCTATAAGTCACTACTGGTCTATAAGACATTACTGGTCTATAAGTCACTACTGGTCCATAAGTCACTTCTGGTCCATAAATCACTACTGGTCCATAAATCACTACTGGTCCATAAGTCACTTCTGGTCCATAAGTCACTGACTCAGACATTGACAACATTCTGGGATAAATCATGTTTCTTGTACATGTCGCTACAAATGAAAGGAAATATTTCATGTCTTCATCCATCTGGTTGAACAGATTCTGGTCTGTGTAGTTTCTAGGAGTGACTTGTTACTTTCATGGAATTTATTTTTCACAATTGATTTTATGAAATCATATTACTACTGCCATTATTAATGTTTACTAATTTATATTTCAAATAACTGTATCTTTACAATTACCAGTGACAACATGCCCTCTTTACTTAGTGTCAATACTGCTGCAAGTTTGACCATGTAAAGTAAAAACAGTTTGGTTAAACATTAAAGACAATATAATTTCCACTCATTTTGATGTTTTATGTTGTTTTACTCTACAGTTCTTCTCCCTGATTCTCCTGGTGTTCCTGGCAGAGGTTGTTGCAGCTACTATGGGCTATGTGTTCAGGAATGATGTGAGTTATCCATGTATGATTCATTGTCATCGGGTCGGTGTTCTGCATGCTTCAATACTTGGAAGTTTGTTTTGTTATTCACAGGGGGCACGGGTGGCCCAGTCGTCTAAGACGCCGCGATTCGCTGTGCAGAGTTGCGTCCCTTGGGCACGCCAGAAACCTATGATTGTGGGTTCGAATCCCGGTTCGCCCCAATTATGTTTCTAGGTTTGTCAGCACCATACCCGTGCTCGTGGGTTTCACCGAAGTGGTAAATGTCTGAGACCTGCATCACTTCGGGCTTTCCTCCCACATTAAGCTGACACGCCGTGATATAACTGGAAAACTGTTAAAAGCGGCGTTAATCCCAACTCACTCACTCACTGTTATTCACAACAGTAGTTGATAATATGCAGGAACTGTTACGTAGAACTAAGCTCAGTCTAACTGGTTCATTCATTCGAGGGGCGGTCTGGTAGCCTAGTTGGTTAAAGCGTTCGCTCGTCACGCCGAAGACCCGGGTTCGATTCCCGACATGGGTACAGTGTGTGAAGCCCCTTTCTGGTGTCTGGTGATATTGCTGGAATATTGCTAAAAGCGGCGTAAAACCATACTCACTCACTCACTCACTCATTCATTCGAATAGCACTGTGTTCGTCATATTACAGGGTTCTATCTAGATCTGCATAAAGGCCAAATGCAATGTTTGGTTCAGAGTTGGGAACAAATGTCAGTAAAAATTCTGAAATTGGAATTAAAACTTTCCAAATTCCTGTTTATCATGTTAATATAGTTATATCTTAATGTTATGGCTTTGTAAAGATGACAGTATATCACTGATAACAGGACCAATACAGAGGAAGTAGCTTTAATGACTGTTTTTACATTATTGCAATGGTAAAATACCTCAGAATTTTCAGTATCTTGATGTGCACTGGAGTAGGTGCCTGATCACGTTGACGGTACAGGTCCTTTTTTAACTTAACCTGAAAATTATCTGACTTTATTAGCTGCATTTTCCATTGTTTTTAGTTCAAAGAGAACAAAAACTTTGCCGCTGTACTATCTTGTGTAACAAATAAATCTTGAAGTAATAAAACGTGTTCCATGCATTGTAGAAAGGCAGTAAAAACAGGAGTTTGTCATTCTGTGAGTTCTGAGAGGTTCTGGTGTCAACGCTGATTATATTAATCTGTTAATGTTCCATGACACTCCTGTGTATTTGCTGATCAACATGAACAAGTATTGGCTAGGGTAGATACAGCTTACATATGTTGTCCTGTAGCTAGCCACTTGTGTACAGTGGGGGCGGTCGGGTAGCCTAGTGGTTAAAGCGTTCGCTCATCACGCCGAAGACCCGTGTTCAATTCCCGACATGGGTACATTGTGTGAAGCCAATTTCTGGAGTCCCCCGCCGTGATATTGCTGGAATATTGCTAAAAGCGGTGTAAAACCATATTCACTCACTCACTTGTGTAGTGTTTGTTGTTGTGACAGGCATTAGCTTTCCTGGTACAAATAGTGGCCCATGATGATGCGAGGTCCATAGTGACATGAGAGCTTCATCTTGATATTAAGCCATCTGAAACCAAACTTTCCAAAGTAAAAAGTCTCATCAGTGCCATTTCATGGAGGTGAGACCCTATTGGACATGTTGACCATGTTTGTGTTTGTAATAATCATCTTTGTTCATTTTAGGTGAGAGATGTACTTGACACAGGTCTGAAGGATGCTGTCAATCACTACAATGAGACTGCTGAAAAAAATCAAATTGACTATATTCAGAAAGAGGTGAGAGCCCATCATTGCTATTTATGATAAGCCCAGGACCTTATTGGTGAAATGTTCTGCTGTGTGAAGATCACTGACTGGTGTCCACAGAGAATAGGTTATTGAGACTGTATATATATATACTAAACAGCTTGATTGAAATTTGAAGAGTTTTTTGTTGGTGGCAGGAAATTGTATGTTTGTTTTGAAATTTTGAATACTTACCAGTCTGTGCCAAAAACTTATAGATGATCAGCCCAAAGATGTCTTTTTAGTAGACATGGTAGATTTTAGCCTAAACCTATGAACTATTATTAGCTGAGTTTACAAGACAGGATGTGATATTGTGCTCCAGCTCAAGTGCTGTGGGGTTCACAATGCCTCCGACTGGGCGACCTCTCCAGGCTGGGGGAACACGACCATGGTTCCAAGGAGCTGCTGTAGGAATGCAACAAGCTGTTCTCCATCACTTACAGGAACAGACATCTATAATGAGGTAGGATTTCAGTGCATAATTTTACATTGAATATTTTCATTATTCTTCCTTGGAGTGCTGCTTGGAGCAACCATTCTCCTATGGGTTAAGTGCAGTATAAATGCACATTATTATTATCATTAATATCTTCGCCAAAATATTTAAGCCTGCAAGCATTTTCAGTATTTTGTTTGTTATATAGACTAGGGGTAAAGTGAAAAAAAATCCCAATTTAAAAAAAATTAGGATTCTCTTCCTTAGCTTGCCTGCCAACGTCACTTTGTCGTTTGGAATCCTAGATAAATTCCTAGAATTTGATCTGCTATGTTTCTGGAAATATGTTCTTCAAACTGCAAGGCTAGAATCTGATTTCACAATACCAGGCAGAGGAGACTGCATTGATGCTGCTTTCATTGTCACCATTGTTGACCGTAGTTTGGAACTTTGGCATGTTCTAGGGCTGCCTGGACCTGCTGAAGGATAAATTCCTGATGAACCTTGTGTACATTGCTGCAGTGACTGTTGCCTTCGCCATCATCCAGGTAAGCAACAAATATTTTGTGATAACAGATTTAAATCCTTGCCTCTTCTGTTGTCCTTTATGATAAGCGACCAGTTCAAAAGTTCAAGGTAGGCTTTGTTACTATATTATGCATTGAGAAATCAGGTAAGTTGTAGTGTCAAAGTGCCATTCATCCTCCCCCATAAACTTGAGAAATAAAGATTTTTATCCACCATCAGACTTTTCAATTGGTCCCTAAATGCCCATGACATTTCAGGCTTTTGACCTCATGAAGACCCGGGTCAGAATAGGTATTCAGTAACCATGCTTGTTGTAAGAGGCAACTGACGGGATCGGGTGGTCAGGTCATTGACTTGGTTGATGCATGTCATGGTATCCCAATTGCGTGGATCGATGCTCATGAAGACAATTACTGGATTGCCTGGTCCAGACGCGATTCTGTACAGACCGCCCTCTTATAGCTGGAATTTGTTGAGTGCGGCATTAAACAAAAAACACAACATAATAAACCTTTCGGCTTTTTTCCCACATCAACCTGACATTTTGTTAAAGCAAACTCACTCAATTACTTAAAGTGATATTAAACCCCAATTGTTGGGTATACATAATGGTAACAATACAGTTGTGTTTAGTTAAACAGGATGTCTTGTAGTCAGTGTGTTAGTGCCAGGATTAGGTGATCGGGCAGTGTTTGTTAGCGACATGTGGTGTACTGACTTCCTGTATGTTGTCTCCACAGATCCTCGGCCTCATCAGCGCTTGCATCCTGCTGTGTCGATCGCGCGATGTACGTTACGAAACACTGGAGAGTGCCCAACGGAACGGACTACGCGTGTAGAGAGCACACCTCCTCATCAAATTTCCATCCATGGACCAGTCTAGCTGGCCTTGTTTCACAATGCTCCTATGTTCACTGGGTATATTGAGCTTTAATGGGACACACAAAGCTTTCCCTTACGGCAACATGTCACTAGTTGATAGTTTTGATGTGACTAGCATAATCTTCAACGAAATAAATTAGTAAGTTCTAAACAGGAATAGTGTATGCTTTGCAGAAATCCAAAATTGTATTTCTGTGTTTGAAGCATTGTTTTGTTTGAAATGTATGACAAGAAAATTGAAATTAGGGCCATGTTTGGTTACTGTGAGTACTAACCAGTTGACGTGTATCCTCATATTATACATGTGTTGTTTACAGGAGAAATTGTTCCCACACTGAAGTGTGGCAAATCTTAACTTGGAAATTGAGAAACAGTTATGAAGGAAACGGATTGTCCACCTAGCATGTCTGATAGACAGGCGACTGTATGTAATTCATGAATGTAAATATGTGTACATTTTATTACTTTACATGTCTAGATCTGATATAGATTAATAGCTGTCCGTGTGCATTGTTGGATGACCCTACTGTGATGGACAAAGATTTGTAATCAAATAAGATTTCATTCTCTCGAACTCAAATGCAAGCAGAGGGCAGTTGAAATTGCTTGCATGTTGGCAAAGTGTGCAAAAATATATCATCTTGAGTTGGGGTAAGTTGATCACCTTGCCAGGAGATTTGTTTCGCAAAAATGGAATTTTTCCTGGTTTAAATTTTTTTTATTTTATCAGTACACGTTCAGAATATTATTAACTTTGGACAGGACGTTGTTCAATAGTATTACCAAATCTGAATAAAACCTTTGACATTTTGGATGACAAGCATCAATGTCCAAGAAAATGAACTGATTTGAAACCCTGAGTTGGTGGCCGGTGGTAGGAGACCCCTTGTCCTGTTGACTTGTTAAAGGGAGACTGCTCCAAAATCTGCTGCCAATTTCCAATTTATAATAAATTAATCCAATTAATAAGTAGTTAATTAATATGTAGTGTCTTATGTGAGCCTAAGACATTGTTTCTGTGTAGTTAGGTTAATGATCAACTGTAAGATTGATACTCATAACAAAACTTGAAGTAGCAGACAGACAAGGAATAACCTGCGTCAAACTTGCTGGTACTGCCAATTTACCTGAGCCAAGTCTCCCTTTAAGAGTGAGTACGGTTTTAGGCCGCTTTTAGCAATACTCCCTCAATATCACGGCAGGGGAAACCAGAAATGGGCTTCACCCATTGTCCCCATGTGGAGAACCAAACCCGGGTCTTCGGCTAGAACAAATGAGCTGTACCTATTATGTTATGTTTGAAGCATTATAATTTCAGTTGCTAGTTGTTTTAGTTGGGACTTCTGGACTAGTGCTAGTTGCAAGTCTATGACAAGTATGGGAGCTGAAGTAATGGTGCCTATTCTATTCTAGTTTAATCTAGTTTGGGAATATGGTTATTTGCACGAAGTCTCAGAATTATGATTGTAATATTACATATATATTTTCCCCCTGTAATTGGATTTTGCTGTTGTTTTATTTATCAGCCAACATTTAAGCAATTCTTTCATGACTGATTATCCTTGTATCTAGTACATTTTAAGTTAAGACCTCACATACCCTCATTATATATCCCTGTAGTTGACACAAGTATAGATATCATATATTACCAACAGAGGCTATGAAGAACTACTTTAACACTTGTGATTGTCTGTGCCTTGTGGTTCAGGGAAGAGACGATAGTCAGGCTGTAGTTGAAGAACTCTCTTGTCCTTTACTAAGTTAGATCATGGAAGCATTTGAATGATTATACCATGACAGGTGTGTTTTGATACAAGGGAAGGCGATACATGCCAGCCCTTCTGTGTGGTTTAGTGGTTGTGAGAAATGACACTTCCGTGTTCTACTTCATCCTGCATCATGATCATCACCACCTACAACTGCACCGAGCAAGTGATAAGAAGTTACGCGTGAAATGTGCTTTAATCAGTGTTAATGTCCATTGGTTTCTAATTTGCACAAATATTATGTCTCACACCTCTGTGTTGTGCGAGAAATTATTTGATGATGTTTTGATGTAAGTATTTATTAATTTCTGTTGTTTTTTAATTGTGTTGTCTTTCATAACTTTGACAGCTGTGTAGAGCTAGTGCTGCTGTATGTGGGTGTTAGGGCTGGGACGAGTCCAAATTTACTACCCGGGTACCCGAAAGGAACATTTTTAGCATAGCCCTGGCAAAACGTATTAAGATACATGTATTAAACAATCTGGTCATGCATACACTGAATTTGATTTGAGTTATATCTTTATTCAACCATATGAAAAATCAGAAGGAATGGGTGCATAGTCAGAAAGAAATGCGAACATTATTGACTTGTAGTGTAACCATAGAGTTCTAGATAATTTTTGTCATTAAACAATATATCACGTGGTTAACCATGGGTCCGGGTAGTCCTGTTGGTACCCGGGTCCTACTCAGTACCCACCCAACCCGGGTACCCGAGTTACCCGTCCCAGCCCTAGTGGGTGTTAACAGTGACAAGAGAATGCTGTTATTCAAGTCAAGGTTTCTTTCAATACATGTATTTCTTTACCTCTGGTAGATCAAACCATGTGGTGGTCTCAAAAGGGAAACCTTTTTGAACAACAGAACACACAATAAAGCATGTAATACTTTCCTTTTTTCAGCTACGTTAATATGAAATGGTCATTCATCTGTGTAAATGTTTACCCTTGTCATTTTAGCCCACCTTTTTTCAGTGTTTTACAAGTGTATAGTTAACTAGTGGTGTATTCTTGGGGTGAAATGATGCATTTTTCTGTATCGATACAACACGATTCACTTGTGAAATAAATAACTTGATTCTAGTTTGACGACCCCTGGCGTTTTTGTCAGTCAATTATTACAAAATAGGTTGTAATTAGCGTATGAGGTTTAATAATAAACATAGCAGTTACGAACAAGTTTTCCTTTTGAACCTGCTCTGAAATATTTATTGTCAAAAAGTTTCCATGCAATTTGACATAAATATGCGTAGCGCAATACATATCGCATCATGACCTCTGTATCGTGATACGTATCGTATCACATCCTTGCTGTATCGTTTCACCCCTAGTATGTTCCTCCATTTGGTATCACTAATTGCATTTTCAGCTTCACACAGCACATGTAAATAGTTAGGCCTGTCATACATTTACTTTAACATCATGTGTTATTGTCAGTGCCCAGATGCACAGCAGGAAAATCATCACAATAATTTACAAAGTCTTGCCAATGGTGCGGTAATCCCAAACCTCCGCGCCCCCCCACAGGGAGTCCTGTGTGCAGTGGTTGTCAGCTGAGTAGAGTAAGGATGAGGTTGTCACAGTGAGTGTGTCCTCATGAACCGAGGATGTGGATGGTTGCTCAGGCAACGATTGATCATGTACAGGTCATCAGGAGTGTGTCCTCATGAACCGAGGATGTGGATGGTTGCTCAGGCAACGATTGATCATGTACAGGTCATCAGGAGTGTGTCCTCATGAACCGAGGATGTGGATGGTTGCTCAGGCAACGATTGATCATGTACAGGTCATCAGGAGTGTCCTCATGAACCGCGGATGTGGATGGTTGCGCAGGCAACGATTGATCATGTACAGGTCATCAGGTTACGTATCACTGGACAAGAGGGCTTCAAGTGAAAGAGATCCAAGGGGCTGAGGAATAAGCTTAATGAAATGGTGTAATTTGACAACTAATATGAAATACTGACAGTGTACTCTTGTGAAGTTCTGATCTATATTGTATGTATACTCAGTGTTCTGATGGCCTCATGCTGGCATGGTGACCCCTTGGTGTCGATGAGAGGTGGCCCACTGCTGGCCTCAGACCAACATCAGTCCTCTGGCACAGTCAGATAGATGACCTCAATATAGTTGACTGTATTTGAAACTGAAAACAAGGAAATGATTTAATTTAATTCTTTTCAGAATGTTGTTTCACATTGGCTTGATGTAGAGATTTGTTTTGAAAAGTCGTGATGTAGGTCAAGTGGCCGATCATCCCTCTCCTGAGTGTCATGTGCTGTGTAGTATGGCTTTCATCACTGTCATGTGTGTAGCTGTGTGTAGCTGTGTGTAGAATAAACCATGAACATCAGTCTCTTTGTCCTGATTGTTTGTCCGTGCTCCTTGCTGTAGTCTAGCAATGAAAGCAGCTTATACTCCACTGCAGGAAGAAAATCCCCAATCTCAAGGATTACATGTGTTTCTGTTTTCATCAGTTTTATATTGATCCCGCGTGCCAGTACGATATAAACAAGTATATTTGAGAGAAGGCAACACAGATAAAAACTTGACCACACAGTCATGATTATTTGCATATATCTGCATGAGTTTGGATCTGACACAAACAAACCATTGTAGATACAAGGAACATGACCCATACAGACATCTTAACTGGTTTCATCTAGTACAGACAAACCAATGTAGATGTGAGTGACATTACCCACAGAGCCATGTTTATACGTGGGTCCCATGAGTTTGGGTGTGGTACAGACAAACCATTGTAGATGCGAGTTGAGATGTGTTTGACTTTTGTATAGTTATCTCAAGGAAAGGAGAGTTGTTAACCAACAAGCACATGTTTGTTATTGAAAAAAGTTTTCAACAGTTTTAACTGTTGTTTAGTCTCGGCTGGTTGTGTTAAACCCAAGACTTGCTCATGGTTACAAGTCACTCAACAAAATCAAATGGGTCTGCTTCAAAACGAAGCAGGGACACGAGTGGCCAAGTCGTCTAAGGTGCTGCGATTCGCTGTGCAGAGTTGCATCCCTTGGGCACGCCAGAAACCTATGATTATGGGTTCGAATCTCGGTTCGCCCGATTATGTTTCTAGGTTTGGCAGCACCATACCCGTGCTCGTGGGTTTCACGGAAGTGGTAAACGTCTGAGACCTGCATCACTTCGGGCTTTCCTCCAACATTAAGCTGACACGCCGGACATAACTAGAATACTGTTAAAAGCAGCGTTAAATCCAACTCGACCCGTGAAGATTCCGGGGTAGAATAGGTCTTCAGCAACCCATGCTTGCCGTAAAAGGTGACTATGCTTGTCGTAAAAGGCGACTAACGGGATCGGGTGGTCAGGCTCGCTGACTTGGTTGATGCATGTCATCGATCCCAATTGTGTGGATCGATGCTCATGATATCAATCACTGGATTGCCTGGTCCAGACTCGATTATTTACAGACCGCCGTCATATAGCTGGAATATTGCTGAGTGCGGCGTTAAACGACAAACCAAACCAAAAATCCAACTCACTCACTCACTCAAAACGAAGCAAATTCTCATGAAAGATGACCCTTGAGCGTTTCTGATCAGGAGTTGGAAGCTCTAGCACCTGTGTCCTGAAACCTTTGTCATGCCCATTTCATTCCTCAGTGTTCTCAGATCACATGAGAAATTCCTGCTGTATTGGGTACTTGACGTGTGTCGCCAGTCAACATAATCATAACATGTATTTTATTAACATTTTACTTCGTGGTGACAGTTGAGAGTCTTCCTGATTTTGTCTTAACTTCGAATCTCTCTCTTTTCTCCTTGAACTCCGCTGCTCACCTCTGGCAAAGGGAGGAGTGCCATGCCCTTGAGTGGACACCAAATCCCCGTGGATAGCTGTTTGAGTTAGCCCTTTCAGTTGGAGATACTTTTGACAGCGAAGTAGTCAATTTTGTCCATGTTCATCAACAGGGAATACCTAGTCACTGCGATGCCGGCAGACATGTGCTGCCTGGTTATGTATTTGGTCCAAATGCAGACGCTAAGCATGGGAAGTATTGTACTTAATGCATGATCAGGGCGCACTATACATCATCCGTAGTCAGGCTCAGAACCTTTCTGCCACCCCAAACAGCCATGGAAATTGTGCCTGGTACATATAATCCGATCCTTCATTATCCAGTATTATGTCACCATTCTGTTATGAAATACGAGGAACAATATTTGAGGTTTGTTTTGTTTTGTTTGTTTAACGCCGCACTCAGCAATATTCCAGCTACATGACGGCGATCTGTAAATAATCGAACCTGGACCAGAAAATCCAGTGATTGACATCATCAGCATCGATCCACGCAATTGGGATACGATGACATGCATCAACCAAGTCAACGAGTCTGACCACCCGATCCCGTTAGTTGCCGCTTACATAGTCGCCTTGTACGGCACTAATGGATTACTGAAAACCTTTTCTACCCTGGATCTTCACGGGTCCAATATTTAATATGTAAGGAGACTCCTGTCATTTCAGTTGTAAAAATGAAATGACTCTCTTTGTTGCATGAGACACAGTACCTGAACACGGATAGAAAATTCGCTACAAATTGTGCACGTGTATAACATGCCGTCCATGGTGACACATCCTGGTTACTAGTATGTGCATGCCAAAACTTCCTCAAAAAGCGAACATGACAAGAAATGCACAATTGCGCGCACTAGCCTGGACCGAAGCTGGCCAATCTCAGAATGCAGTTGCCAGACACTTTGGTAATTCTAAAAGTGTGATATCCAGACTGATGGAACGATATCTGGTAACTGGTGGGGTTAAGATAAGGGTCGGTGGAGGAAGGCCTGGTAGGACTACTCCCAGCCAGGATCGATATGTGCGCACCATTTCGTTAAGAGAAACAGCTTCATTTCTGGCTTCCGGGCTGCCACAGGAATTCAACTTTTGACATCAACGATACGGAACAGGTTGAAAACTAAGGGTCTATAATCAAGACGTCCTCCCAGAGTAAAGAGTCTGACTGTGGCACATAGGCGCCTCAGACAACAGTGGGCTCAGCACTTTGAAGGTCGTCAAAAGCGGCATTGCATACACCATGTTTTTTATGAATCGAGTTTCTGTATACGCTTTACAGATGGTTTGTTTGTTTGTTTGTTGTTTAACGCCGCACTCAGCAATTTTCCAGCTATATGACGGCGGTCTGTAAAATAATCGAGTCTGGACCAGACAATCCAGTGATTGACATCATCAGCATCGATCCACGCAACTGGGATCGATGACATGTATCAACCAAGTCAGCGAGCCTGACCACCCGTTAGTCGCCTTTTACGACAAGCATAGTCACCTTTTACGGCAAGCATGGGTTGCTGAAGACCTATTCTACCCCGGAATCTTCAGGGGTCTCTTTACAGAAGGTAGACAAAGTGTTTGGAGGCGGCGTGGAGACAGGTGCTCTCCGGCAGAAGTCCAGGAGCACGATGTTTAGGCACAGTGGTGGCGGCATGAAGGGCTCTGCTGGCATCACATGTATACGATTTGTATCGAGATTAGATATTTTTTCAGGTTCAGCTGCAAACCGGGTATTTTTAAAAACTTTGAGCCTGATTTTTTTGGTAAGGAAATCACGTTGCTACAATGACAGGTAATTTCATTTTTTCATTTCAACAGTCTGAAGCATAATTATTTTTTCTAGCATTTTCGGGGACAATTTATTGTTTGTCGACAAAATCCCAGCCCCCTCCCCAGGAATATCAAATAGTCGGCCCCTTTGGTATCAACTGCCCCTAGGATCGACATAGTAATTATGAAGATCGATTGGTCACAATGGCTGTCGTTAAGTTGTTCACAATGTCTATACTGTTCTAAATTAAAATTGAAAAGTAAAACTTTACCCCCAGATGTTAGTTCTATCAAAATGCTGCCTAGTACAGGCGGATAAAGCTTCTCGGCAAAAGAGGGGTGCATTTTGCGGGGTACATATTAACATGCACCCCTGTACCCCTCTCTGGCTCTCGACCGCCTTCTTGGTCGAGTTGATACAGCGTTGCCCGGAGAGCGGAAGGTCCGGGGTTCGATCCCCGGCCGCATCATGTCAAAAGACGTTAAAAGATGGTACTTATTGTTTCCCTGCCTGATGCTCTGCACAAAGGGGATAAAACAAGGACTGGTCGGTCAGTCTCGGCTATTTGGTTGATAGCTTGTTACCGTACTCCGACGGCGTCGGACATTGCTCACAATATTACACTGGTTTAACTGGACCAGATTCGATTATTTACAAACTAAAAACAAAGAGGCTACGCGCACACACACACACACACACACACACACACACACACACACACATACATATATATACGTTTTCAGACACTGCATGCTTCCTTATAAGGAGTGGTTCTTTGGTTCTTCTAAACATTGTTGCTAGAGTTACCTGTTATAAGAAATGGAGATTTTGCAGGTGCTCACTTGTGCCATATTGTAAGAAGTTTGTTTGTTAAATCATAAGAAGTGGTGAGGTGCACTATTATAAAAAAAAATGGTTATTTCACAGGTGCTCTCTTGTGCCCTGTTGTATGAAGTGGTGGTCATCAGGGGTGGCCTCTGTTTAGCACTAGCCTGTCAAATTATGCGTCGTAATGCTTGTATGGCGTTCGTCGATCACACTATCAACCACTGGACCAGTCAGTTACAAGCGCCGTGATTGAGCTACATTCTAAGGCTTTAAACACTACTCGTTCCGTGAAGCTTCCGGTTTAGAATTGGTCTTCAGCAACCCATGCTTGTAATAGACGACTAACGGGATCGGGTGGTCAGACTCGCTTGGTTGATGCATTTCATCGTATCCCGTAGATCGATGCTCATGATGTCACTCACTGGATTGTCTGGTCAAGGCTCGATTATATTTACAGACCGCCGTCATACAGCGGGAATATTGCAGAGTGCGGCGTTGAACAACAAACAAAAAACAAAACACTACGCTTTATGTGAGGAGATAAAAACCAATTCATTTTCACTTTCCATTGTCACTGACGGAAGGATCTCCCAACCCGACATGCTAAGCCATGTCCCCGAAACAGTAATGCTGCTAGTTGCGATAGTTCGTTCCTAGTTTCTAGTACTCCTACAGAATGTGCAGTTGTGTGGAGGAATAACATACTCTGCTAATATTCTAGAGGTAGTAAATGACACCCGAAGCGCACGTAATATACCTTTGAAGTAAAACAGTTAACCCGTCAATTCGTTTTACCATTGCAAAAGGACTTCATCTTTTTGTTGATGGTTAAGATGTAATATTCCAAACTATGCACGGATATCAAGATTTGTTGTAGATGTATTAAGATTCGAACCCTTTCACCACAATACGACACTATCATCGTTTCT